CCCGTTTGAATGGGCCTCCCGCGGTCCTGGGAAAGCCTCCCACCGACGTTGGCTGACTCATGAATAGGACGCGAAGATCAGTCGGGCACCAGTGATTGACGCGGTGACGCCGACAAAAAGCCGTTCGCTTGGGGATGTTCCAGCTGTCAGAGACAGCAGCGCCACCGCTCCTCTGTGGGCCGCGCTGTCGCTTCCGGCGCGACAGGTCTGAACACGCGCAGCCGCTCGCCGGAGTGGGAGGAGAGCCAGACATATCTGGCACGCGGCTCCAGCCTGAGCTTCGCGCTGCTTATTAAATATGCCAGGTTAGCATGGCTATCAGGGAATCGAACGGCGCCTTTGTCGGAGCTGCACGCTGCCTGGCGGGGCTAGTATGCAATGAGTTCAACGAGGAATTTACCCGCTCCAAGCGACCTGTCACCGGTTCAAAGTGACGTCACATCGATTGGATCTGCCGGAAAAGCCCGCGTGACTTGCAATATCAAAATGCTGAATGGACGCTGTGCTAGGATTCCCGGGCGCGCATCAAGATACAAACAGGTCTCAATCAGACTTGGAAAGTATGAAGGATTCCCCCGCTGGGGAAGACTTTTGGCGAAACTGTGATGATGTCGATCGACAGCTGGTTTGACAGACAGCACGCCTGGTGAACGGTCCACGTCCCACGGAAATGATGGAATGATCAGTCGGGCTGACCCACGGAATTGCTCATCCCACGGGATGAGCAATGAGCATGTCGCTGACACGGAAATACGGACACAGTATAACCGTATCACGTTCTAATTACCTGCGCCAGACAAAAAAATATCTGCGAACATTGCACATAAACCGACGTATTTTCCAACCAGAACCCAAAGTAAGCAGGGCAGGGTAAGTTCTCCAACAGTCAAGTCCTTCACGCGCGACTGTAGAAACTTCGACCGATGCCAGCTCCCGCATCTCCGGCTGCCAGTCATCAACGCGCGCACAACATGCGCACAAAGGCAGCTGTTGAGGCGAGGCACAGCCACTGCAGGAACGACACGCCTGAATTAGGGGCGTCCTGACCCCGGTTCCGAGGCTGGGGGCCCGCCAGCTTGGCGTCGGCTCCGCCATCTGAGTGCCAATGTGCCAGTTGGTGTCACGGAGTGTTTACACAAAAACGAAGAGGGATCGGCCTGTTTTTCAGAGTTCAGAGAGACTCACAGAGCCGTGGCACGTGAAGCACCAGGAAAACGTCTTGTAGGTGCGGCGTGCACCGGCGAAATAATGGCGGATGTTGAGGTAATCAGCCATCATCACACTCCCGAGGCTTACGGCAACGCACCCAGAAGCTTTAGGAAACCCATTCCGACCAGTCTGATGAAACCATTGTGAAGTCCGCGTTCAATGCGAGAAGAGCAGGCAGCGGTGCACCGATCAGCGTCGGCGCCCATCAGTATGTAATGCAATGACCGCGCTGCCCGAGAATTGGCCGAATGCGGGTCTGACCAGGTCGGGCAATTGAAGTCGACGGAGCCGATGAAGTTGCAACAAGCATTTTTTTCGTGACGAGGAATCTGGCTTTTCGTGAAGTCTGGTCGTATTTCCCGGTGTTTTTTATATTCAAAATATTTTATTGACTCCCTTAACGTGGTAGGGAATGTGAACTTGGTTGGTGAATGGGAAAGTGAGCCACAATTTGCAATGTAACGTCAACTGTTTCAAAACACGGCCTAACACTCTTTTCATTGCGCGTACTTACGCATACAAACGGATGGTGCTACCGCGCGTCTTTTCATCCAATCAGCCTACATTCCATTCAGTTCCACGAATCACAACTGCTATCCGATGCAAGGATGGAAATAAATTTCCATAACGGTTCATGTCAATTCATTGTGTTTCAGCCCAATTCAACAGAAAATGCTAAATGAAGCATGCGTGATCATTATCTTCTGAACTGCAAAACCGAGATATTTTCGAAGGTTATTGGCCGCTATGAATCGTGAAGTAAAGTCCTGTTAATTCCCCTGTAAAGTGCTCATGGCTCCAGCCCCTTTCAATAAGGTCAACTCGCGGCGTATCCCAGACCGGTTTGAAAAGAGACGTCACTGGCCCCCGCCAGCCGATCCGTGGCGCGTCGGTGAACTGGTGTGCTGCTATCGCTCCAGAAGCTGCGGACGGTGCAACCGCCCAGGCCGTGCAGTCGGCTCCGTGCCTTTATTCCCTCTGCTTGCCGAGATCTGATAACAGTTCTTAAAAATGCGTCGATTCAAAAGGATACATACGTCCCGGAGGAACCGGCCGTTTTTATCTTAACTTATCTTTTACGATGTTAGTGATGTCTTCCATTCCCCTGGCTCTGTTGACTTTCCGTCAGTTTATATCTGTGTAACGTAGTGGACGACGCTTTAAATCTTCGTTTCCTGGATACTCACCACTCAGCCCTCACTTCCTGGCGAGCAGGCGGTCGCCAGGTGTCCTGGTCGGCCTGAATTCAGGCCCTGATGTCCACTCTTGTCTTGCAGCGCTTCGCAACTACCAATTTCACGCCTCCCTGTCTCATCCGTCAGGAAGGCAAGGGTGGCAAGGCGGTTTGTTCACATTGGGACGCTGCCGCTAAAAATGGCAATGACATATGATCAGCAACACTGCAAATGCTTTAAATCATGTGCACAAGTTCAAAATGAAGTGTTCTTGTTGCTGAACGCCACGTGAAAGTGCGACCGCGGGTGACAGCGGGGCGGCTGAGCGACGCCACCCGGCCGGGCGCTCACATCGAACGTGCTCTCGCCGCTCTACTAAAGCCTAGTTCACCCTCGGCCTAGCTCGTACTCGTGGCTTCAAACAATGGCTTAGAGCGTGTGCACTTCCGAATACGATTCCGCTAATGGCTTAGCACGAACTTTGCAGTATCACGTGCCATGCACCCATTCATTTGCCGGGAACTCTGGACTTAGCTGGGTTTGTCCAACGTGAGCTTTCCCTGAACGCCAAACTTCTTCAATATCGAAGTTCACAGAACACCGCGGTAGGGCGACGTTCGTGCACGGCCGACGGCGACAGGACGACACGTCCCCAGCGCTAGGCCGATCACGCGGACGACACGGGTAGCTTTGTCACTGTCATTGGGGTTAACGCCGCACTCAGTTGCTGAGGCTTTATGGCGTGCCAGGGTGCAGGCACCGCGGGAAATCGAACCTCGTACCTCTGGTTTCCCAGACGCGCAGTAGTTAACTCAGGGCGCGTTAACCATCACGCTGCCGGCACCCCACGACACGGGCATCGACCGGCGGTACATCTAGCGGCGGTATCCGCGGGCACCCACCTCGGGCGACGCCGACCTTGCGACCGGCATCCGCCACAGGCGACACCGACCACGTGACTGGCATCCGCCACGGGCGACACCGACCACGTGACCGGCATCCGCCACGGGCGACACCGACTACGTGACCACAGGCGACGCAGACCGCATGACCGACACCGGAGGCCGCAACACCGCACGCTGTTGGCGGCCCCAGCGCTGTCGCGCTGCAGCCGACCGGCCCTGCAGCGGTGTCCCCCCGAGCGGTACGGTCACGATCGATGTGGCGGGGGCGGGAGGAAGCGACGCGCGAGGAATGTGACGCACGCAAGCCGGCCCGCTTCAAGATCGGCAAGATCAGGGCCGCTCGCCGTTAAGGATACGAGATGGTGAGTAATCAAGGTCACGAGAGGACCCGGGCAGGGGGAGGACGTGTCGAGGCGCGACTGGTGTTGTGGGTGCTGATGCACTCGGACGCGTAGGATCAGTGTGAAGGTCAGGGAGGGCAGATATGGCGGGTGCGGATCTAATGGTAGTGTGAGCCCTTGCAGCACGTTCCCTGAGTTGATATCAAAGTCGCCAATCAAACAATGCGCCAACACACCTGTTTTAATCAGGAGCTGACGCACTGACAAACACTTAAATCCGTTGCTGAAAACAGTCCAATGGTCTCCGGAGAGCTCAGCCAACTGCTGACAGGTCGCTGGTTTCGCTAGCCACTCGCCAGCACGTCACGACAGGCATCCGCAGGCACCTTCCTGTCGTCATAGCCGATTACGACAGCCGAGCCTCGGCGCAACAGGACCGTCGTGGGGCCACGACAAAACTGGTGCACGTGCGGATCCATACAGCCAGCCAGGCTACCCGCTCCCAGCGCATCCCCAAGACACCTGTACACCACCGCCAGCCTGTCAGCAGAGGCGGCCGGGGCTATCGCGGCGCCACGCGACGCCCGACGGCCCGACGCGGACCGGTTTGAGGCGCTTACGTCGCCGGCGGCCAGATCTCCGCCTCCGCCGACCGCTGAGCGAAGCGACCGCCCGGTTCCAAGAACATGACCACCGTCTCTGACGCGGCGGGGCGACCCCTGGCGCGCGCGCGCCGCCGCTCGTCTCAACCCGGCAGCGAGACAGCGGTGCGCAGGTGCACCGAACAAGGGCGGCTGGCAGCCACTGCTCGTCGAGCGAAATTCCCCACCACTCGAAGCGTGCGCGGTAATCTGATCCCGAGCCGATGAAGGTTGTCCACAGGATAGGGGAGCGCAAGGGTAAGAAGCGTGGCAAAACTCCCCGGCGAGAAAAACACACGCGGCAAAAACCATCTTTTTATCAGCGTCACATGCGCGTGCCTCCCATCACAGCACGCGAGTCGAAGGCCATCAGACGGCGCAACTGCGATCGACAGGCGCCATTTGAACTGCGCTGTGCACTTGATACGCAGCCCAAATACCGGTCCGGTCACGGCGCCGCCGATAGTGGGCCGACGGGCCGGGACGGCAGACTGCGGCGCGCCGATACAGCGCCGCTATCGGGGCGCGGAGGAGGGCTGCACCGGGCCCTGCCGGGTCACGTCACCTGTCGAGGCGCCCTTCGGCCCGCCCGGGGGAGGGGAGGGGCGGCTCTGACGGCGGGCCCGCCGCCCGGTCAGCGTGTCCCAGTTTGCGGCGCTCCGCGGCCGTCGCGTGCTGTCAACCCAGCGCGGCGCCGTCGCGTCTCCGCCGGCCAGGCGGCCCGTCGGCTCCCCCGCCGGCCGCCGCGCCGCACCGCTCCGGCGAGCTCGCGGCCGCGGCGGCCCGGCCTGCGGCGCGACCGGCGCGCACTGACGCACACTGACGCTCAGCCGGCCCTTCCTCGCCGGCCGCTCTCACTTGACGGAGATGTTGATGATGGTGACGTCGTCGTAAGGCTTGTCCGTCTTGGGGCTGGTCTTGACGAGGCCGATGTTCTGGCACACCTCCATGCCGCGCGTGCAACGGCCGAACACGGTGTGCTTGTTGTCCAGCCACGGCTGCCGAGGGCGCTCTGGTCAGTTGGAGCCACGCGGCACACAGACAACGTGACGCGGACGGAAAACGGTACACAAGCGCTCTGACGGCGCTGGTACAAGTCGCACGCAGCACCGCGGTGTGCGGGGAGCGTGCTAGCCTGACGGCAAACGGGTGCACGGGGTACAAGTGACACTGCCGGCACAAGAAACACGCATTATGACGGTAGCTCGCCCACGGAGACACACATGAGAACACTGGCGGGACTATGCCGGTGTTCTCGCGGAGCTCACTCACGGAGACACACATGAGAACACCAGCTGAACATGCCGGTGTTCTCACCGAGCTCACCCACGGTGACACACATGAGAACACCGACTGGACACGCCGGTGTCCTCACGGAGCTCACTCACGGAAACACAAATGAGAACACCGACTGGACACGCCCGTGTTCTCACGGAGCTCACACCGGCTCAACATGCCGCTGTTCTCACGGAGCTCACTCACGAAGACACACATGAGAACACCGGCTAAGCACACCGCAACCCCTCCCCAATCCACCAGCGAGCCGCCAGCGAGCCTCCAGGAAAACCGGACCGCGAGCTCGGCGCCGCTTCGGCCGCGTCGGCGTCGCCGGCTCTGAAGATAGCGTATCGCGGTCGCGGGTTTCAGCGGTCAGCGCGGCGGATTACGCCGCCGCCCCGCCGTCTGACGCAACCCTGACCCGTCGCCCTTCAGGGCCGCTCCCGGGCGGCCCTCTAAAGATGGCCTTCTGGTGAAGCGCCGTAAGCCCGGCGGCGCTACAACGCGGCCGGAGTCGGCCCGTCGGAGGACCTCCGACCAGCGGCGTCCACTCCGACGGCCGGCCGCGCGTCGCTCGAGGGTCTGCAGGACGGCGGCCGGCGGCGGCGCTCGGGCGCCTCTAGCATGGCGGCCGGCGGCGGCGCTCGAGGGTCTGCAGGACGGCGGCCGGCGGCGGCGCTCGGGCGCCTCTAGCATGGCAGCCAGCGGCGACGCTCGAGGGCCTGCGGGACGGCGGCCGGCGGCGGCGCTCAGGCGCCTCTAGCATGGCGGCCGGCGGCGGCGCTCGGGCGCCTCTAGCATGGCGGCCGGCCGCGGCGCTCGAGGGTCTGCGGGACGGCGGTCGGCGGCGGCGCTAGAGGGTCTGCGGTCTGCAGGACGGCAGCCGGCCGCGGCGCGCCGCCGGCGCAGGGGACGGCCGGGGCGCGGCGGGGCATGACGAGGCATGAGCTGTCGCCGTGACGCGGTGCGCAGGTCGTGACCGCGGGCTTATCCTGCCCGGGGACCGCTGCGGCGACTCGGGGCGGCAGTGCGGCGCGCACGAGGTCGGGTATCTGCGGCCTTGCACAGTACCGGAAGGCGGTCTGGACCGAGAAGCGGTCGGAGATGTCACGGAGCGGGCCAAAGCTCCCTGAGTCTGGGAAAGCTCCCGTACGCTCCAGTTATGACATCGTCATTCAGCCACGCGTGGTCCGAGCCTCCGATGCTTGTGCGAACAAAAGTGTGCTTTGAGAACATTGCCACTCCGGTGGGCCTCAAGCAGCTGACACTGATATGAAAAGCTCACGCCGCATGCGGACTCGCACGCTGCAAAAACACCGCAATTGCGCAAACCTCCGCCTCGGCCTGTCTCAGCCGCGGCGCGCGTGCGCCGGCGCGTCAACAACAGCCGCCGGCGGCCGCTCCAGCGCCGACCTCCGGCAGCGTCCCGATCCGGTTAGCGTGCGCTCCTGCAGACGCGCCGGCCAGCGCACGTCCAGCTGAAGTACCTCCGACGGCACCCGCCACCGGCCGGGTGGCGGCCCGATGGCCGGTTAGCTCGCACTCCTGCAGACGCGCCACCGGCCGGGTGGCGGCCCGATGGCCGGTTAGCGTGCGCTCCTGCAGACGCGCCACCGGCCGGGTGGCAGCCCGACGGCCGGTTAGCTCGCGCTCCTGCAGACGCGCCACCGGCCGGGTGGCGGCCCGATGGCCGGTTAGCGTGCGCTCCTGCAGACGCGCCACCGGCCGGGTGGCAGCCCGACGACCGGTTAGCTCGCGCTCCTGCAGACGCGCCACCGGCCGGGTGGCGGCCCGATGGCCGGTTAGCGTGCGCTCCTGCAGACGCGCCACCGGCCGGGTGGCGGCCCGACGGCCGGCGGCGAGTGGCACACGAGTGGAGTTTTTTCGAGGCAACCCCCACGGTGAGGATCGGGGTGTAGCGGGGAAACTCCTCGCGGTCAGCAACCCAGAGGCCCTTCAAAATATCAACGTGAACGGGGGCATCAACAACGACTTTCGACTGGGAATGGCCGAGAGGGAACACCCCAGCGACGTATCGCCCGTCCCCCCCCCCCGTCCCCACAACCCTGCAAGTGGCACGGGGAGCCCGCGAGCCCACCCCGCCGGGTGCGCCGCCGCTTTCACACGACACAAAGACCCAACAAGCATGGCCGTTGTGCAACGGCAGCATTGTAATCAGACGGGGAGTGCGAGGGGCGCAGGGTGGTAATGGCGTGGGGGTGGGGGGGGGGGGGAGGGAGCGGTCGCGCAGGGGCGACACCAGGGCCTCACCCCCGGGGAGGAAAAACGGCACGGCTAACGACCCGAACGGGTTTGGGAAAACCGCCCAGATCAGCGTGCCGATAAGCGCTCCCATTTTCCTGAGGCTCTGCGCGCTACAAAACCAGGACGCCTTTCCTCTAATTATGTGGTGACAAGGAGGGGGGAGGGGGCGGGCAACACCCAGGTTCGCTCGTCAGTGGTGGCAGAAGCGCTGTGGGGTGACGCGTGGACAGGCGCACCCAACGCGCCAGCCGAATGTACGAACATTTTTCATCGCGATGTCGGTCCACAAATGCAGTTTGTTCCTTTAGATGACAGCAGTCCCAGAGCACCTAACCAACCTGAGCTGCGCCCACCCATCCTCATCTCGTAAGTTTACGTCTCCTGTGTGGCCCGTCCTCTAACCCACCCGTCTTCCCAATCGTGTGTGACAGTCCTGCGGTCTCCGCGCCGACACCGCCCTAACCCGTGCAGACTCCCTCCAACCGGCCCCTCCTGCCGACCGCTGCACAGCGGCGGTGGCGACGAGGACGGCGACAGCGGCGGCGGCGGCGGCGGCGGCGGCGGCGGTCGGCTGAGTACGGCACGCTCCGGAAATCGGCGGGATTCCGCGGTGGCGACCGGGCCCGCGGGCGCCGCCGCACCGGATGTGACGGCCGCTCGGCCGACCTTGCTGCTGACCTTGCCTGCCCCGGCTGACCCGGCCGGAGCGGGGCCTGCTGCGAGGGGCCGCAGAGGAGAGAGGGCTCACTGCGGCCGAGACGGGTCGGACGGCTCGGGTCCGGCGCCAGTGGCGGCGCAGGCCTCCGGTCGGGGCCAGGTCGGCCGCTTCGCTAACGTTATGCAATGCTGCATTTTTGCTGCATGGCGGGCGGAGAGGAATGCGGGCGGAGCCAGCTTCCCGCCAAAGTCATGCAACGTTGCATGGCTGTTGAATGACCGATGTCCAGAGCTATGCAAGACGGGTCAGCTTCCCGATAAGTTGAACGGGTGCATAGCTCCCACAAATCGACCTTGCGGTTAATGCGAAAGTCGAGAAAGTCCCAGCCGAGGTCGTGCCACGCTCCGCTTCCGCGTCACTTAGTGCACGCGGACGACCGCTCTAAATACATTCGCACCACGATCCCCCAAGAAACAAGACCGCTCCTCAGGGACGAACCCCTGGTGCGGACCACGCCCCGCGACGCCGTGAACCGGCGCCCTGCCGCCTTCCGGCGGCCCCGCCGCACCCACCGTCGGAATGAGCGTGATGAAGAACTGCGAGCCGTTGGTGTTGGGGCCGGCGTTGGCCATGCTGACTGTGTAGGGCCGGTCGTGCCGCAGCGACGGGTGGAACTCGTCACCGAACTCGCCGCCCCAGATGCTCTCGCCGCCCGTGCCAGTGCCTGCAACAGCGCGACATCGTCAGGGCGCCGCTGGCGGTGACGGTCGCTACCTGAGGGCACTCATGGACGGCGCCGCCAAGGGTGAGGGTGACGGGGCAGTGCACGAGGTGCCGGGGTCGTCATACGTTTGGGTTGTGAGCATCGTTCATCGCAACACACCGAACGGTTGACCTTGAGTGACCTAGCCAAACTCAACCGCAGCCAAGCATTCTTTTGGGATATTCACAAGTCCCTTAGCAGATTCGCGTCCAACTAAAGAGCACGAATTCGACCGCCACGCTCGTGACCTCTTCCATTCATACGATAATGACAACCAAAATTACATCTCTCTATGTCCTTCGGCCCCCACGGCGCTCTCACGCATTACCCCCACTTTCCCGCCCGCAGCACGCCAATCGAGCCAGACCGACTCCCATTACCAGCGCACGCGACCTCCGGGCGCCGGCCACCGGTCCGGGTGGGGGGGGGGCACCCCGCGTCCGGCCGGCGGCGGCCTCGTTCCCGGAACAGTGGCCAGCGGCGCCGCGGCCCCGCCGGCGCACAGCGCCCTCCGTCGTCGTCGCCGTCGCCGCCGGGGCCGCGGCCCACCTGGCGGCGCGCCCGCGCCGACGCCTCCGACGCGCCGACGCCTCCGACGCGACGACGCGGGACGCCGAGCGCCTGGCCCGAGCCGAGATAGCGGCGCTGCGGCCCGCGGCGGCGGTGCGGCCCGCGGCGGCGCTGCGGCCCGCGGCAGCGCTCCGGCCCGCGGCGGCGCTGCGGCCCGCGGCGGCGCTCCGGCCCGCGGTGGCGGTCTGGCCCGCGGCGGCGCTGCGGCCCGCGGCGGCCGGCGGTTCCGCCCGCAGCGGCGCTCCGGCCCGCGGCGGCACACTGTCTCTGTCGGAGCGTCTGTGCAGCGGATGTCCGGCAGACAGCCGGCTGGCCCGCCTGCAGCGGCGAGAGCGTGAAGGCCCGCAGCGAGCACGGCGCTACCAGGCGAGCTGCTGATATGCCTCCAGACGGCGGGACTATTATTTGGCCGGAGCTGCCTGCCAACATCAGGACGATTTTGGCGGTACTGCGTCGTGCCGCACGCTGTGTTTTCGCAGACAGGTCGTAGTTAGGGGTCGATTTTCAATGGCGTAAAGCCCCGCGGTGCGCAGAATTTCCTCCAATCTCCTGTGCGTGTCTGCGCAGCTTGGCGTGTTGGTGCCCAAAACACGTGCGCGGAGGCACACCCGCACGGCGCAGCTCTCAGCGTTCCGCCAGATCTCTCACGGCATTAGTGGGCTTACTGCTTTGTGTGTGGCGCAGAGGCTGATAGACGGTAAGTAATGTCAACTGCCGGTGTTAGATAGGCTATCCTTGGCCGTTGAATGAAGCACGGCAGTTGGGCGTGGGAGCGCTCGCACAAAAAGCCCTCGGAGGCCCTGACCCGAATAAGCGCCCTCGTGCCACGTGCAGAGGAACCGCAGAAAACGACACGGGGGGAGACACCGCTCTGGTTTCGTTATTTTCGAGGCGGCGCGATACGGGTCACCACCGGCCACCGCGCCGTCGCCGGCGGAGCCCGATCCCCGTCGCTCTCTGGTTGAGAGGGCTGCTGGCGGCCAGCGGCCGGGCCGCCAGGCTGGCGTGCGTACTCGACCACGGCGAACGCACACGTGACCGCCTGTTGCGCTTCAAACATCCCGACAACGGTCGTCCGTAGAGCGCACGCGTCGAGTAAGGTTGGCTCTGGGCTTCTCAGACCCGGTGCGAGGGAGGCCGCGGAGCGCTTTATGCAAAGCAGCACTGCTCCCCTGAAACGGCTCGTGACCTTACGCCTGTGAAAGTACTTCCTCGCGTACTCTTCGTACAGACATACACACGCTTCAGTGAGCGCTGTGCGGCAATAATAGCACACATGAATGTCAAACCACAAAATGCGGCGCAGTTGCGGCCGCAGGTACCGGGCAGTTGCTGGCCTTCGCCACGAAATGGCACATGTGCATGCAACGACGCTATCGTCCGAGGCGTCCGACCTGCCAAACTACTAATCTTCGGATCCCGCCGTAATCACCATCCAGGAGCTGCCCAGCCCCGAGCGACCCCATCTGATCGCCGCTCCGCCAGGTACAAGGCGGCCAAAGCCTTCGGTACCGGTTTCCGCAGACCCGCAGCGCCCGTCGTCCCTGCCGCCCACCAATCAATCCACCCCGACCGCAATCCCGGTACACCGCTCCACTACCGAGACCCCCCCCCCCCGTCCATCGCGACTGCCGCGCCAGCGGCCAGCCCAGTCCGACCCGTCGCCGGCGCCCTCGCGCCACCCACCCGGACGCGCCGCCGCCGCCGCCGCCGTACACAGATGTCCGTCGGCATTCCGGCGCGCTGACACACTGGCCCGGCCGGCGGCGGTGGCGTCCGCCGCCCCCGCCGTAGTACGGCCGCCCGGCGGGGGCGGGGCGGCCTGAGTCAGCCGTGCGGGGGCGGCCGACGGCCGAGTCGACGCCGCTCGGCCCACCTGAGTCACCATCGGCGGCGCCGGCGCGCCGGCGGCGGCGCGGCGCAGGGCCAAGGCCGGTCGGCGGCGGCGGCGGCGGCGGCGACGGCCGGCGCCGCACGCCCAAACAGACGGCGCCGCTGCCGGGGACGCCGGCCACGCTGACCCGTGCCGGCGCCAAACACCGGCCGAGACGCGACGGGCGGCGTCTCAGTTCAGTCTCAGTTCAGCGGGACGGAACTGGGGCGGCGGCGGACCGCAGGGGGCGGGTCCGGTCGCCTGCGGGGGTCGTGGACGGCGGAAGAACGTCATGACAGGCGGAGAGGAAGGCCGCATCTGAGGCATCATGAACACAGGAACGGGGGGGGGGGGGGGGGGGGTAGGAAAAGAAATAGGTGTCACGGAATCCACTTTCAGAGAATGCTTACCACTAACTCTTTGCGAAATAATAACCCCAAATGGGTTTCGTGCACCCAGGTTTCTAAACGTTCCTTCACCACTAGAAGACGAGGAACCTCTTCGCTGACTTGTCTGGTCCCAATAGCTACTTTAACGCCCAGCCAGTGGCATCCCCCCTCGCGAATGTCGATGCTGCCTGGAGCGGACTGAAACGGCTCCCGGCGGAGGATGCACCCTCGAGCTGAGACCAGCAGACAAACGGCCCCCGGGGGTGACGTGTCACGACCCCGCCACTCAACACCATGTGTGACGGGCCAGATCGCCTGACGGCGCTGTTGTCACAACAGTCAGCTGTGTTTGAGACGTCAGCTGACGTACGTTTTCGAGCGAGGCCTGTTCAGACGCCGGCCATTAAAACTCGGCGTCTCCATGGTGACGCGCAGACTCGTAACCATGACGATGAGCACGCACATCGTCCGGAGCGCATCGAATGAGGCCTGCTGGAACGAGCACAGCCGCCCCAATCTGGGGTTCAGGGGTGAAATTGCAAACGAAAGGGAAATCTCGGATGTTAGTGTTTGTAAAATGCGTCCGGGGGTGCGTCACATTCTCTAGATCGGTACGTAGACTAACACCAAAACATATGCCACGGGTGCCTAGCATCGCACACCCGATGATCTGACAGCTTCTCCATTTTCTAACTAGTTTCTTTTTTAAGAAACGCGACGCACGTTATCCCGCACCGTTTCATGGAACACCAGCAACTGCGTTAACCCTATCAGCGCTCAGGGCTATGCCGCAACCGGGATTCGAACCCGGGCCTGCACGCGGGAGTCCCAGGCGCTAACCAATCGGCCACCACACGGCCTTCTCAAGCCGATTGCCGTACACGTTGCGTCACGGCAAACGTTAAAATTTCAGCATCAGGAAGAAATTTCGTGACGGCAGGAAGGCGCGTCTTTTCTCTCGCGAGCAGCGTCCAAGACAAATATACTGAGCGACTCTGTATATGCAGTTCATACGCTGATCGGTACGCAGATGTCGCTGCGCGGCCGCACCGAAAGGTCACGCACTCCAGTGACCCAGAGCAGAGGCCACCAGCTACCAGGAGCCCGGGAGCCACACAGCCAACGACCGAGCTTCTCTGCACGGCTGTGCGGCCACGGACGCGGCACGGGTTGGCTCCCATCACCGCGCGGACACTCCCGTCCGCCACCCTTCCCAGTGCGACTCCCTCGCCTGGTGCATGCTGCATGTTAGTGTATGTTACCCAGGTCCAGGAGAGCACCGAGCGCCGAGTTCGGCTCCGGGCGGCGATGTGACCAGCGCCGCCGGATGAGCTACCCCCCATCCAGCACAGACCAGCGCCCGGGAAACTAACCGCCGGATGAGCTACTCTTCGTCCAGCACAGACCAGCGCCAGCGAGACTAACTGCCGGATGAGCTACTCTCCGTCCAGCACAAACCAGCGCCGGCGAGACTAACCGCCGGATGAGCTACTCTCCGTCCAGCACAGACCAGCGCCGGCGAGACTAACTGCCGGATGAGCTACTCTCCGTCCAGCACAGACCAGCGCCGGCGAGACTAACTGCCAGATGAGCCACTCTCCGTCCAGCACAAACCAGCGCCGGCGAGACTAACCGCCGGATGAGCTGTTCTCCGCCCAGCACAAACCAGCGCCGGCGAGACTAAACAAACAGTCCTGCAGCGGAGCCCGACCGCTGCTGAAAACGAGCCTGGCCTTCCGGTATGTTTGCTATAGAACGCACGATTTGGCCGGCAGCTGGAGCCTGACGCATTTATCATCCGGCCGTAATGGTCGTCATCCCCGTCACAGAACAGCCCCGTTCTAGAGCCTCGCTTCCCGGACCCTGCGCTCGTTTGCAGGGAACATCAACCGCCACACCGAGTCGTTTTACAACATGCAGTAGCGCGCAGCCGCCACTCGACCCGCGCCTCTCGGCGCCGGCCAGCCAGCGGCCGTCTTCAAACCGCTAACACCAGTGACGTCACAGCGGCCGGCGGGCGTTATCTCTCGCGCGTCCACCGGGCTTCAGTCGCCGCGGCGGACGACGCCTATCTCCCCGCAGGCCCGGCGGAGGCGGGTGCGGGCGTGTGGCCGCGCCGCGGTCCGTCGCAGGCCGCTGTCGGACGCCAGCGCCGCCGCGCCGCTATCGCCGCACCAGACGTGCCCGCCGGCGATACCACGGCGCGGCGCCGAACGAAAACAAACGCGCCGCGGCCAGCGTCGGGCTCATAGACACTGCGCGCGCCGGCAGACGCGGCCGCGCCCGGGGTACGCGCCGCCGACGGCGCCCGACGCGCTGTGATGGTTGGCAGCGGGGACGAGCCGGGTACCGCTAATGCGCCCCTCGCGGCGGCGCCGGCCCGTATTTATAGCTGCTTCGAGACGCTCGCCTCGCCCGCTGGGTGCATAAAGGCCGGCGGCTGAGGGCGCGACGCAATCCGGCGCGAGGCGGAACAGGCCCTAGAGGCACGGCGCGAGGCGGCGCGACACGGGACAGGTCCTAGGGGCGCGGCGCGAGGCGGAACAGGCCAGAGGGCCCCGGCGCGGGGCGGCGCGACACGGGACAGGTCATAGGGGCGCGGCGCGAGGCTGTCAGGCCAGAGGGCCCCGGCGCGAGACGCAACAGGCCCTAGAGGCGCGGCGCGAGGCGGCGCGACACGGGACAGGCCAGACGGCCCCGTCGCGAAGCGGCGCGACACGGGACAGGCCCTGGGGACGCCGGAGAGAACACAGTGCGGACCGGACACGGTCTGGAGCACCGAAGGACAGCCTGTGCGGACCGGACACGGTCTGGGGGACCGAACGGCAGCCTAAGTGGACGGGACACTCTGGGGGCACCAAAGGACAGCCTGTGCGGACGAGACACGTCCTGGGGGCACCGAAGGGCAGCATGTGGGGACGGGACACGGCCTGGGGGCACCGAACGGCTGCCTGTGGGGGCGGGACGCGGTCCGGGGTACCGAACGGCAATTTGTGCGGACGACGAGCTGCACAGCCTGATCAGGACCGTGTCTATCAAGGGCGGTTGTCGATCCAAGACGGCTGAGTTTCTCGGCAGGAGCGGACGGGCACGGTCCAAAAGTGGTTCGAGAGGGTAAGTCCTTCGTAAAGCATGCCCAAAGCCGGAAGATATGGATAGATGAGCCACGCCAATTCCGAGACAGCAGCAAGAGGCCACTTACCCAGCGGATCTCCGGTCTGGATCATGAATGCCTTGATCACCCTGTGGAAGATGTGGCCGTTGTAGTAGCCGTTCTTGCTGTGCACGCAGAAGTTCTCCACCGTCTTCGGGCACTCGTTGGCGAACAGCTTCAGATGTATGTCGCCCAGTGACGTGTGGATGATGGCCGTCTCGTGCAGCGCCGATGACGCTGAGGGCAGGCGGCAGTCAGCAGTCAGCTTAAACCGCAGCTGGAAAACCACAACGCACATGGATGGCTGAGCTATGCCGAGAAGGGAGGGGGAGGGGCGGAAAAGAACCGCCAGCAGCGAGGAAAGAAGGCAGCAAAAGCAGTGACCATCTAACAGGCGGGCCTGTAAGCTGCCAGCGTATCGTGTGTGCTGGAATGCATAGTCCACTAGCACGCTCATCCTAATGCAATGCAGAGCAAACACCACCACATGATCTCGACATGCCCTCAAGAGCGGATATAACGAGCCGTCTCAACGTCAACAACATTCCACCGCCGGCAGTTGCTATCGTCTTCCAGCCGTGCCAAAAGGCGCAATTCAACCACATCCCAGAGAAATCCCGCCAAATGTTAAACATAGCCACGTGGTAATGTCCGGCATTGGTCCGCCGGCGACGCGACGCTGCGGTGTGAGGGCCGCGTTCGCCGCCGGCATGGCCTCGCGCAGTGCTGGCCACATGGCGCGGTCGGTGCAGCCGCGAAGGCGAGGGCACCGGCGCCGCCACACATCTGCTCCGTTCGCGGCTCTCACACAGATACGGTTTCAGCCGGTGAACACCAAAACCAACATAAGCCGAGAGCGCAGCGTCAAATGAGCCCCGACGGTCAGGGCTGCTGACTGGGCCGACAGGCCAGTTCAGGGGAGACGTACAACGGAACGAGCCTGGAATGTGTCGATGGCGATGGTGATGGCGATTCCAGGCAGTGCACCGGCTCCTGCCGCTTAAAGGGAGTGTTCCACATTTGCATGTGGTTTTTAAGTGACGTAACCATCTTGAAGATCATTCGGTGCATCCACAGGCCTGCCCTTCTTAAGAACTAAACCACTCCTGTTTTCTGAGCTATACGCCGCAAATATGTGCAAAATTTTCGGGGAGACTATTTCAAGGTCACGCAGGCATCCATGCGGTCAAAATAACGCCATTAAAATCCTGGCATTCCATTAGCCATGTGGCGTTCAACACCAATAAAAATATGACTGCCGAGTCGTTCATATATGGCGTTCGTGAGCACAACTTCTACATGTAATGACCGTCAGTTAGCTCTCAATAAATGTTGTGCGAGGTATGATTACGTAATCAATCAATGACGTATTGAGGAGTGTGTTTAATAAACAGAAAAGGTTTGTTGTCTAGAGAAGCCTTTACTACTTGATAGTATACCGTGTATACCGTAATAGTTATAAGCGAGATTATTTCATCATGTCTGATGCTTGCATCAACATCTTCCAGTGTGAAACAGTCCCATGAACACAAGTGACGGGCCTTTATCTGCGGCGGTATCCTCGAAAAAAAAACACAATAATGACCCTATGACCTGTTAGTGCCCGCGTCTCAACACCAGATGCATGTCAAATAGGCATGTTTTGCAAGCGTGATCACCAAAAATTGCGGTCGAAAAGTCGGCCCCAATGACACCGACTAGCAGCAGCTTTCTTTGTTGGAGTTGGCCCGGCCACATGATCCCTCCGTTGATTTGCCGTCCTCCCCCCCCCCTGCCCGGCCTGCCCGTGTCAGACTCGGCAACTTTTCCCCGGCGGCGAGCTTTCATCAGCGCTCGAGGCGGCAGTGTTCCCCAGTCGGGCGGGCCATGTCACCGTCCTTGTCGACCCGATAAACGGCCGACGAGAAGCTCAGACCAAACAGCGCGGACAACTCCACCGGGACGGCGCTGAACTGCGCACTCAGCGCCAGGAGTTCCCCGTCGCGCCCCGCGGCGCTCTCCCTGCCCTCGGACCGCGGGCCGGCTGCGACGGCGCTGAACTGCGCACTCAGCGCCTGGAGTTCCCCGTCGCGCCCCGCGGCGCCCTCCCTGCCCTCGGACCGCGGGCCGGCCGGGACTGCCAACGGAAGACGCACTCACGGGACGGTCAGGGGAGGTCCGGGGACGCACGGGGTGGTGACGGGTGTCGGCGGCCAACTGTGCCGGACACCAGTACGAGCTGCTCCAGTCGGAGGACCAAGTCGCGTGAAATCGACGCAGGGGTGTATGCTCCGTTGCAACGAAACTCCGCTCAGGAAGGCGCCACGCGATCACCACCCTCGAAAACGGCAGCTCATCGCGACACCCAACCCAAATACGCCATCGCGATAAAGACCCGGCCTCGCGGTTGCAACCCCCAGCCCCAACCCGCCATCGCCACCCCAAACCCGAACTTGCCGCGCTCTGAGCCGAGCCCAGACCCCGGCGCCGTCAGTCGACGACGTCCCCGTCTGGAGACCGGCTAGCAGGCTGCACAGTCCGGCCCCGGACGCGGCGTGGGGCGCGCCGCTCCGGGCCCCCCGCCGAGGGAATCGATCGGTCGCATGGACGCCGGTCGCCGACCGGTCCCGCAACAGTGCCCCCGCCGCGGCTCGCCAGAGCACGTGCTGGCGGGGTCGATACGGACCACGTGGTCACGGCCGCCGGCGCCGGGGCCCGGTCGGCGCCGTGGCACGGGCCTGGGCGTGCCACACGCGGTCCGCTGACGACGCAGCGCGTCGGAGCACGAGCCTGCGAGCTCCGACGTGCTGGGTCGGGGCCGCAGGCGCCGCTCTTGCGGCGACGCCAGCGTCGCCCCGGAGCAGAGCCAGGGAATCCATACCACTGACGAAACACGGGATAGAGGTCTTGTGACCCCACCCGGTGGGGCCGCCGAGCCCAGCGCGGCCTGCCGCCAGGGCGTCCGGCGCGCGGACACGTGAGGCGGGGTCGGCCCATGTGGACCCCGTTGCCAGGCGGTCATGGCTGCCGGCACAGGCGCAGAGCTCGTGCAGCGGCAGCGCGCTGCTGACGCAATTCGTCCACCGGTCGGCCGCCAGAAATGCGAACGCGGCGACCAGATCGCGGCCGGCGCGTGGCGCGCGGGCAACAGATGGATCGCGGCCGGTGGAGAGGGACGGCACATCGCGTGCGCTGCGCCGCGCCACAAGTTACCACCCGGTGTTTGCTTATGTTGTGACGTGTGAAACAAACGACCGCGCTCGTCAGCGTCGGCCGATCCGTCGCGCCCGCTGGATCACGGCCAGTGGGCTCGCTTGCAGAGGCCAGCGGGTGGCCGCCGGGCCTGTGCGAGCGCCCCAAGGTCAGCTCGCGGCAGCAGGTGCACTCCCCGAACCCGCGCCCGGCTCGGGCCGGCGGCGAAGCGGACAGCAGACACGAATGGCACGAATCGACGGAAGGTGCTGGACGGGTGGACACAATGCAGCCAATGAAACCCCGGGGCCCAGATACAGGACAGGATACAACGTAATACATGCGATTCAACCGAGGCAGAGCGAGTTCGCCCATTCACTCTTTCAGGACACCAGTGGTCGCCATTTTGACATTGTTATCAATTTTGCCACCGTCACAGAACCAAAAGAGTTTCAGCTTTGTAAGCGTATAACAAAACGGTGCGCGCACTGAGACACCCCCGTATCTCAAACGGAAACGGGCCACCTCAGAACGGAAATGCTCACGCACCTGATTCGGAGGAAAACAGAGCTTGGAGAGGCACTTCAGAAAGCTGCAAGCAAATAGCACGCTCCGACCTTCGGGCCTGATGACGTCATACTTCCGCGGCGCGACAAGTGCAAGCTTTGTCGTATCGCAATTGGTCGCACAATCAAACCTTGATCAGCCAATCACAGGTCGCATCAACAGCGAGGTAGCAGCGTGCGGCCGCGCCACTGGCGACCTTTTCCGCCGCTATCAAGTGCAGCATCGGAAACGGAAAGTGGCCGACAGGGACGACAAAGACAAGTGGATTACGCCGAATCCCTCCAGCGAGTGTGCACCTGTGGAAGCGACAAGGGCACTTGTGGGTGCCGTCGTCAGAGGATTCTCCGAACGCCCGAAGTCCGGGGTGCAGGCACCTGGCGTCATTAAAAGCCTGAGTGCAGCCGAGACAAATGGCCCCGCCTCGACATGGTCTCTCGGCGAGCTCTGTCACCGGAGGTGGGGGCGGTCCGAGAGGCTACGTCAGAGCTGTTCCGTATCCTCTCCTCCCCCCCCCCCCCCCCCGTCACCGTCAGTCATCAGGCAATCCCCCCCCCCCCCCCCAGGCATTAGAAGCAAACACTACCATCGGTTGTGAGACACTGTGGTCATCACCTCGGTCCCCACTTTCCCCTGTAAACAATGCTGGAAATTGTCGGGACATTTCGCTAGGAACGGTATAGAACTTCGGCCAGGTGTTGTAACGGCACAACTCAGTTCTCACTCGCGTGCAGGCTAAAATACCGCTAGTTCCCGGGGCACGCGCCCCGGGCTGGAGATACTTGGGACCGTTACCCGATCCTTCAAAAACTCGCCAGCACACCTGTGCAGGATGTAGCAAAGGGCCCCCTGTGCCGATGTGCCCAATGAGCTGGTAAGCCCCTCCCCCCCGCGCAGTTACCCGCCTCGCGGCGTCGGGGTGCCCTAAGTGCAGTCAAACGGGCCCTCGGAGGCAGCCAGTCCCCTGCAGTCACTGGCGTCGCAGGCGAGTGCCCCCTGTGGTGGGACAGCCTCCATGTTCTCAGCACTGGGGATCCCCCTGTGTTGGGACAGCCGCCATGCTCTCAGCACTAGAGATCCCCTGTGTTGGGACAACAATCCGTGCTTTCAGCACTGGGGATCCCCCTGTGTCGGAAAAACCCTCCGTGCTCTCAGCACTAGGGATCCCCGTGTGTTGGGAGAACTCTCCGTGCTCTCAGCACTAGGGATCCCCCTGTGTTGGGACAGCCCCCCATGCCCTCAGCACCAGGGATCCCCTGTGTTGGGAAAATCCTCCGTGCTCTCAGCACTGGGGATCCCCCCGCGTAGCTACCTGTGCTCTCGGTGGTGGCGATCATGTCCTCCTTGGTCGGCTTCTCGTTCAGCACGTCCCGGTCCACGTCTACGCCCCGCGTCTCCATCGGCTCCCGCCTGCCCAACAAGGAACACCGGGCGACCGGTCAGGCCAGGTCAGGTCAGGTTAGATCAGGTTAGTTTAGGTCAGGTCAGGTCACGTTAGATCAAGTTGGGTCATGTCAGGTCAGGTTAGGTCAGGCTAGATCAGGCCAGGCTAGGTCAGGTTAGGTCAGGTTAAGTCAAACCAAGCCCCGTTATCTGAGAGAAAGCTCGTCCTCAGCGTGCTGCACATGAATCTCGCCGGGCAGGGGCGCGCCTGCCATCGTAAGCAAAGACGAGAATTTCGTCTCAAGCATTGCGGGAGGAAAATTGAAGCGAGCTCACGAACAGACACCACAACACCGCAACCACATCTGGACCTGGCATTGGGCGTCCGTTCCCCCATGGGCGGCTCCGTCAACGCGTGGACCAAACATTGCACCTGAGAATGTCTACATCTCGCCAGCCTCCGAACCCGTAGCACCCCCCCCCCCCGGAGTGGGGGGTGGGGGGGGAGGGTCAGCGCGTCCCGAACCCCGACCGGCCCCGCTGGGCGCTCACCGCGAAAACAGGTAGAAGCGGTTCTTCTTGAAGCCCGTGCAGAAGAGCGTGGGGTCGGCGTGAGCGCTATCGAGGGTCGGGTTGTCAGAAGCCTCCATCTCGATCGTCACCGACGCCTGGGCCAGCTTCTTCGGCTTGCCCTGCGGTCAGGACAGCAGTGATACCAGCCCGCGGCGAGCGGCTGGTGTGGCGGTCTGGGGCATCAGTCGGTGGTGGCAGACATGCCATGAAGAGCGCGGTATATACGACGGAGCGTTGGTTGCGTAGGACGCTTGCAGGTGTGCGTGTGTGCCTTGATTATCGTCTCAAGACCCGCAGCCACGCGTCATGTGCGTGACGGTTGGAACGGTTGCTCATCTATGAGCCGAGAGATCCGAACCACGCCACACGTCAAGACCCTGGTAAATGATCACCTACTAATGCCCGCGTGCTTTGTCGTGAAGGAAACCAAGCAAACCGATCCTCACACCCGAAATAGGAGCGTTGACACACCGTACAACTTTCAAATGCGCACTCTGTAAAAAAAAACGTCACCGTGACATTCATGCAAGCCCCCACAGCGCGATTCTCCTATTTCACTGCGGAACGCCGTGGCCCAAAAACCGATGCAGCAACGAATGACCGGCGCTGTGGTGGTATCTACAACGGCTCAACCCGTCCCACCGAAAACAGACTCGACACCACCGGCGCCGCACCTGGAACAGCGAGAGGTGGAGGAAGCGGACGTTCTCCGGCTTGCCGATGAGCTTGACCAGCCGGTTGGTGTGCAAGTTGATCAGCTTGACGCCCAACATGGTGGGGTACATGAGGAAGTGGCCGCTGTCGTCGAACAGCACGCTGCTGTAGCCGATGGAGGACGACTTCTCCAGCTCGCGCTCCACCGCCATCCTGCGCCGGGGAGAGACACCGCGGTCACCCAGCGGACGGGGGCGGCAGCGCACCGACGCCGACGAGAGGGGGCGGCGGCGACTACCCGAAGTTGGACGGCGACCAGACACTTCCATTACAAGTTGGCCGGGAACGGGCCGGTGGCGGGGCAGGACGGACAAGTTTACACTGGGGCGGAGATCGAATCGATGCTTGAATGACAAGCCACTTGGGCCACTTCGCGACCAGCTTCGGGAAGTGAAAGACGACTATGCCATTTTGAAACGGCACGAGGGGAACAATGACTTCAGTAGGCAGCGTCACGCAGCACACGGCGCCACGCGCGACTGGTTCACGATGAGACGGGCGGGTCCGACCAGCAGGAGGTCCGAGCCGGCTCACCTTTTGCCGAACTCCATGTTGGGCACCTGCTGCTTGGCCTGCTGCAGTTCCGTGTAGTGGGCTATGGACTCGTCAATCACGCGGGTCAGCTTGCCGGTCAGGAAGCGGAACACGCGGATCTGTGGGCGTCAGGCTGTTAAACCAGGTGTCCCGAACGTCCGACGGTGCAGTTTGGTGGCGGGGCTGGGGGCGGGGAGGGGGCTGCTGACAGCAGCAAACTGATCCAGTCGAGGGATGCTGGGTTTCAGTACTGAACAGATAAGTGGACACAGGTTTGCTATGCCCTCGCAGGAACGCAGGTGGCCGCAGCTGTATTGTGCTGGAGAAGCACATGCTTTAATGAAGCACCACTTCCCAGATTTTACGACGTCGACTTTACTCTGACAACGCGGACCACTGAGTCATCCCCTCCCATAGACACAAGGGAATTAAAAGCCGCATCTTTGTGACAGTGGGCAGCGGCCGGCTTGGACAAGATCATCCGGCCGGAAGTTATTGCCTCGGTCCGGCGGCGGCGGCGGCGCGGTCCCAGCGCGCAGCACAGAGCGCGGCTTTTATAAATAATGGGACGCCGATGTCGGCCGATAACAAGAGCGGGCCGCCGAAACAGCTCCGAGAACCGATCGACCAGCGACCCGTGGTGGCCTTCTCAGAACCGGGCTGCACGCGCCGCGAACTGTTAAAAACAACCAGAGAGTTTCCTGGAACAGAGACCTCACACTGTTGTCCGAGCGGCAACAAGCCATCTGCTCGCCGACGGCGGAAGCCCGCCGGAAAACGCGGCACGAGAACGCTTCGTGGAAGGGTTCTCCGTCAACATGCCGGCGTTCACACAGCTATCTGAACACCCCTTGCCAGAAGTGTTGTTTCCGGAAACACACCAAATATACCTTATTATTTGTTAGTACAAATAGACCTTATTGTATATTATTATTAGACCATAGACCACTTCCTGGTACGCGTTTCCAACGACTCCTCTCTTCAGCCAGTCCCGCTCTTTGCCGAGTCTGTTCCTACTTCCCACCGCTCCGCCGCAATCTCCCCTCCAATACCAACCTCCCGTCACCCCTCTACCTACTCTACCCCTCCACCCGCTTCACCGCTCGTCGTCCCACCTTTCTGTCGGCGCCGATGGTGGCGAAGAGCCGGCCGTCGGGGGAGAAGCTGAGCGAGCGCGGCACGGTTTTGCGGCGCGCAAACTCGAACAGGTCTGTGTCCAGCTTGGACTGGAAGCGCACGTTGCGCGGCTGCTGGTAGTCGAACCGCGGCCCCGTCCAGTACTCCAGCATGCCGGCCTCGTCCACCGAGACGGCCGCGTGGAACGGCACGTTGTACTGCCGGCACGGGGGTAGCGCTGTGGTGCCCTGCCGTCGGGCGTCATCGGAGGCACACGATACGCTGCCGGTGTATCGGCAGCGCTGGCGCACCTGGGGACTCTCCACGCACTCTCCGCACTCTCAGCACGGACGTCACGCGTCCTGTGAGGGCTGTGGACTCCCCAGGGACGCGGGGTGTGCTGGCCAGATTCAGCAGGCGCTGAGACACCGGACAATCACCGGAATAGCGTCGCGCCGCCCGCATCACGGCAGCGTGACTGTGAGGAAGGTTGTGAGCACGGTCGGAAAAAGCGGAAATTTTCGTTTTCGTTGTGCTTTTGATTGAACTCCTCCTGAAAACTGAGCGCGCCAAACAGTGTCCGCGCTCCGCTTCCCCTCCCCCCGCCACTCGCAGGGTGAGAGGAAGGCGACGCGATGTACCCCAGCAGCTGAGTGTTGCGTCCTGTCATAAAGGACAACAAATCCTATCTACAAAAGAAGCCGGGTTTGGTGCAAGAAGCCTACCAACGATACAAGCATATCCATCACCCCAAATAAGATCCATGGATTGCTTGGGTAACATCTATGCACTAAAGCGACACTAACATAGTGCAAAGTTCGGCTGGGTTCGACTGAACATAACGGGATCCCGTGACATACGCAGAAGCCCTGCGCCGCTTTTTTCACACCCTTCCACCCGCGTATCTCTACCAGGGACGCCCGCGATCCCCCGCTGAAAACCCACACTGACCTACACACCGCGGGACCGGTGCTGCCGCCTACCAGCCAAGTCCCGGCGCGGTGGCGCCCCGGGGGCAACACACGACGCGCCACCTTTCTGGTAGCAACACAGGTTCACGCCACACCCCGGGACAGCGTCGCTATGGCCTTGACCGTCATAAGACCACATGACAGGTTTACACAAGCGAGCGTGCGCTTCCCGCAACCGGTCTGCCATGCGTGAGACATGATCGGCGGGTGTATATCCCACTTCAGGACATCAGAATATGTGCGTGCTCCATGGATAGAGCAACTCAGCTGTAAATGGCAACAATTCACGCATTCGGATATGCATGCAATTATTAGGTGCCGAACCCATCGGAACGTCACGTAAATATCAGCACTTTGACACAATTACAGGCCAAACCATCACAAAACTCTCACAAAACTCATCATTATGAGGTCTACCGGCGCGATAAACAGCGTGCCATCAGAAAATAACCATATTTTTTTTGGAGCTTAACGCCCCATCGATTGTCAGGGCTCCTCGAAAACGGGATGCCTTTACCGGGTAATGGTATGTAGGATGCGGTGGTGGCGTGGCAGAGACTCGAATCGAAGGTCAGCAGGTCCAAAGCCGAGCACCTTAATCGCTACGCCGCCAACGCTCCGGTCAAATAAATCAGATGCCACAACGTAAACAGCTTGTCGGGGGATAAACAGCACGTCCCAGACCGCACCACAACCGCAGCGAGGAAATCAAACACAAAGTCGACATCACAATTTATCAGAAACACTTGATTGGACCAGGCCAGACTGTGACAGCGCCACCAAGGCCTCGCAAGAGAACGCCGCCCGGCGCGCGTGACCTGGCCGACCCCGGCTCGTCCCGTGACGCCGCCTGCCTTCTCAGCGCAGGCGGCCGCGTACCTTGATGAGCAGCGCCGGCTTGGTGTGCAGCTTGTGGAAGGTGTGCAGCGGCTGGCTGTTGCCCCGGCCGTCGTACACGTGAATCTGAGGGGTGTCCGCCTCCGAGCTGGGGAGAAGGTCGCCCTCCGTCAGCCAGCGAGCTCCCTCCGTCGGCCAGCGAGCCCCTCCGTCGGCCAGCGAGACCCTCCGTCAGCCAGAGTCCCCTCCGTCGGCCAGCGAGACCCTTCCGTCAGCCAGGGAGCCCCCTCCGTCAGCCAGCGAGCTACCTCCATCAGCCAGCGGGACCCCTCCATCAGTCAGGGAGCCCCCTCCGTCAGCCAGCGAACCCCGTCCGCCAGCCCGTAAACCCCCTCCGTCAGTCAGCGCGCCGCCGCCGCTCGCCAGGCGTGCGGTGGCCGCAGCGGAAAGTCGCTACTCCACAGACGCGCAAACCAGTCAGCAGCATTCTCACTGGTTCGGGGCTATTGTCGCATCGCTTGTTTTAATAAGCTGTGAGCACAACACAGCATCTCCACCTGGGTACGGCTGACCTGGGTTTCCGCCTGGGTCCCCTGCGGCGCCACCAGCGGGCCGGGTCACAGAGCCGCCCCGTACTCACATGGCGAGGGCAGCCAGGGCGTCGCCGGCCGCGTGCACCCACTCGCAGCAGCGCGGCACGAACGTCACCTTCATCATGTTGATCATGTCTGTCGGACGGGCTGCAGTTACGGCACTGGGCCGGGGGTGGCCGGGGGCGGACACCACGCGGTCACCAGAGCGTGGCTCGCTGTCGAAATACCGCAGACCCCCGATTCCAACGCGCCCGTCTTTTGCTGCTCACGCTACAAAGACGTTCCAGGAGACACAGCACCTCAAGACATCCAGCCGTCATATGCGCATAAACAAAAACACAAAACCAACTGCTGCTGAATAATAGCGTCTCAAAAAAGGAAGAACATTCGTGAGCCAAACGACCCTGCCAACTCCACGCAATCGGCTCACCAAAGTTGATAACGTCGAAGATCTTGACGCTCTTGTCATTGGAGATAGTGCACAGGAGGGTGCCACTGCCATTGCTGGCCATGTCTTGCACGCTGCCCAGGTGAGCGCGGAAGTGCTTGACGAACTCGATGCCCTCGTCCTCCTTGCGCCAGAACTTCACGTGCCCGTCACTGCTGGCTGTCACGATAAAATCCGTCCTGCCGCGGCGGGAGCGCCTCAGTCGGAGGAGGGGAGCAGCGCTCGCAGCCCGTCCCGGGGCGTGGCGGGGACTCCGCCGCCGACGACGTCAGTGCGTGTGCAGCAACGAGCACACTGTTGCCAGGTTAGTAGTAACAGTGCAAACAAAGCCTGGCACAAAAACAGCGCGGCCAACAAAAGAACAGCGAGTAAAAAGAAACAGACAGCAAGAGAACAACCATGAGAACCATGGTGTTTGTGGGAGTCGCGCTCACATCCACGCGCGAGATGACAGCGGTTGATATCAACGCCAGGATCTGCCCAGTTCAATTTTACCAACTCTTCAGCAACTTGACCATCAAAGGCACTGCCTAACATCCCTGTCTGCCCCGAGAGGTGCAGACCAACTGCAAGCCACGTGAAGAGCCCAGCTTGAGGAGGCTGCTCACTCACTTGGTGCACACCAAGTGGGTAACAATGTCCCGGTGCATGAAGCTCTTCTCGTAACAGTCGGCGGATGGCAGGTTCTCCAGGTAGACGTCCTCAAACTCAAGAACTGGAGACCGACATGTGTGATGTAAAACAGGTGCTCATGATGATGATCTCCAGGGCTTTTCCAAAGAACCAGGAAATAAAGCAGTGTATCAGGTGTGCAATAGTGCTGTTCAGTAAATAGTCATAACTTTGACTTCTGGTACCCCAGAAGATGCCATGGGATCTTGTAAAACATGTTGGTACCTAAGTCTGTACTAAGCAGATCATGTTCCCAATCCCACAATCCTCACTCTGTCACCTAAACATCATTAACAATTTCATCAGGAATTTAAAAAAAACTGTGCTTAATCTAAAACATGACAGGATGATTGACCCCTCCACCACCTTCTGAACTTCTCTAGAGGAAGAAGCATTGAAGCTTTCTGCACCACCTCAACTGTGCAGTAACATAATACCACACTGTGAAATTCTGTGTATGCCCCTGCATGCATTTAATTCCAAGTCCAAGTTTCTCTCTTCTGGTCCATGTGCCACCTGGTGTCATCCCATATACTATAATCCCATCCTCATATGAGGAAGGCTCATAAGAAATATCCATGTCAAAAAACATGAGCTGTTAAGGCTGATGTAAATTGAACTGACCTTTCTGTTTCTTAGGAGCTGCAGCTTCAGAAGGCATGGGTCCTATCCAGCCCTCATCCTCAGCTTCTTTATCATCATGGGTTCTTTTCTGAGATCCCTCTGGTTTTTCATCTTCATCCCTTGTATCTTCTGTTAACTTGTCAGCTGCTTCTGCCATACCTGTCAGACAGATTCAGATTAGCAATACATGCACAAAAACAGCAAGAAAATAAGCAAGACAAAATTGAACAATTAATCTATTTTTTGGGGAGGGAGACAAGAAAGGGTATAAAACTCTGTAGAAAATGGGAAGTTCAATGTCCTATTTGGGACAAGATTATGTCTGGTCCAAACATTTCATTGGCTTGTTTGTCATGGTTTGCGGACTGTCACTGGCCCATCAACAGAGCATGGTCATCACTCATCGCTTTATACAACTGGGTAAAGAACTGGTCAGGCCAATTTCCCACACTGCCACTTTGAAATAGGTAGCCAAATGGAAGTGGAAGCCATTTAGTTACAAGATTCCCTCAGACAGGTGTCCCTAAGAAATCGTTTTAGCCCACCACAGATCTGCGTGCATCGTCGCTACCACATACAGACTAAGACCTACCTGGGCTGAGTATTTCCACAAATAGCTCTATTGATTTAACTGCTCAAATGCTAAGCAAGCATCCTACCTAATCAGTGTTCACCAACTACGTAAGGCGATACGCATTAAATCCCAGCGAACATCACAACTGTGAAAACACCAACAATGTCGAGGCGCGTTGCGAGCTCGTTATGTGTCACACGTGCGCCGTTGAACGCCTTGAAAGTCCTTGCAAAATCCATAGACCTGGGGCATTTGCTGACCGTCAATGAGGTATTAGGTATATATATATTAAGTGTTAAGATCTTTGCAGTCATAAAATAAATAAACAATTCTATTTAATCCTAAAAATATTTCAAATAAGTGATTTGAATGCCAAAATGAAAACAATCTACATATATATTTGTATTACGTCAGCAAAATGAGTGCAAGATTGATCATTCATCGGTTATTTCACAATTCCCCCACGTCTGTCTTTACCGCAAAGATGGCGTCGGGTGAGTTCAGTGGAGGCGGGCTCCAATTATATCGTTTCATTGAAATGTTTCAAAGTGTTTAGATCACTACGAATGTCTGAGTTAAAATATTTACTGTTCCCTCCTGTTTTTGATATACCTAAGGCCGGGCAGTATAGCGGTGGTCGGCTAAATCGGGTCCTGCTTGGCGCGTCGTGAATGTCGCACCATGTGTCGTGTGGTAGGTCTCGTTCCCGAATGATACCTGTGAGCCGAAAAGATCAATTGATGTGCAGTTTGCGTGGTTGATGGGCCAGAGAATGATGGCGATATTTGGTTTTTGGCAGCCTGATCCCATATTTTGCAAGACAATTCTAAGAATCCATGGGAGTACTGCACACTACATTTGTGTGGCCTTGAGGCTCTATGGAGTTCATTGATATCTGGTGATGAAGTTAGACATTTTTGTGTTTGGCTGGGAGTGCCCTAGCTCTATCATTTTTGTAACTTGAGTGATCAGAAGTGTTAAGCAGTATTCACTCATGTTGAACCTTCAACTTATAAATATGGGTTTAAAGCTGACTAAATCACTCCATAATCACTGATTGGGCTAGATGGTATATCAAGTAAAGGCTTCAATTGCCTTGTATGATAGTTACTAGAACAGCATCTGCATCATCTGCCTTTGCATACCATTTTAAGTTAAAAGTGTTAAGATGGTGAAGCACAGGCAACTTTTCACACACATACCATTTTAAGGAAATAAAAAAATCTTGCTGAATGCTAGATGTAAGTATAGAAGGTGGTCACAAAATGAGCATTGCAGCCAGTGTGCCTCCAAACAATAATATTTCACAAATTGTAAGAGCTGAGAAATAGAGCTATAAATGTTTTCTCTAACATATATTTTTATAAGATATATTCAGTGATGTTTAACATTCACTGTGGCTGTATCACTTGGATTGAAGACATTAACTATACCTAGGGAAATGCATGATGTTGCCAAGAGCCAGCCAACATTGAGTGATGTTTAGCATTGACTGGCTGTATCACTTGGATTGAGGACATTAACTGTATCTGGGAAAATGCATGATGATGCCAAGAGCCATCCATTGGTTCATAACAAATATCAGTGGACTGCAAGAAGTTTATTATGGCATCATGACCTCAAAAATAAACAGGACTAAAACTATGCACAGCATTTAATACATGGCTCATTTTGCTCTACTTTGTCTGCACTAACTGTAATCTGGCTTTTGTTGCCAGTAGATTATAGAAAAGATGTGATTTTTTGAAGTTTGTGATGTCATTCCATGTGCACTTTGAAAATGAAGGCTGTGTCTAATCCACAGCTGCAGGTGGCAAGAAAGGGAAGAGGAAGAAGGGAGTCTCCCTGGATCTGAATGTGTTCCTCCAAAATGAAAAAGGCGCTTCTGATGGCAAGGCCATTGTCATCACCAAGACTGGTGGCAGTTCCTGGGCTGACCAGAGAGATGACTTTGGTAGGTCCACCTGCTAGAACATCAGCTTGTATTTATTGGCATGTCAAATTACATAAATCATGTGGATGTGTGAGATGTGTCAAATTGTCATGCAATCACAATTACAAATTAAGGCCTCCTTTATTGCTGAAGACATAAGCAATGCAATATTTCTGTTATTTTGAGCCACCATGTTTTATTTAAAATGGTGATGCTTTATTTGGGTCTAGAAGAGCTTTAATTTCTGTCATTTTGTTGCCTTTCACTGTGCATACTTGTGGTTTCACTTTGCTCTCATGTAATGCCACCTCTTGCTGCTGCCTCCTCTCCACCATACACATGCACCTACACTAATGTCTGCTCTACAACATAGGAACAGCTGTTTCAGGACACTAGCATTATTCCAAAGCCAAATTCACACTGTACCCTCCATCCATTCAATGTTGCGCATACTGCTGTCTCCACATGTTGTCAGCAGCATTTGTCAACATAACAATAGTTGCATCTGGACTGCTTGAGTCCAACCATCCTTTGTGACCCCTTTTGACTCCTTTTCACCACTTGTGAGGCTTTTTGACTCCTTGTGATAATATTTTGACTCATGATTCTTCTCATGCTGCACCTGTTCGCCATTACTGTGCCCCCCCCCCCCCCCCCCCCCCCCATCGCGTCTGGCATGTCGATGGCGCCCTCCGCAGACGCTGAGCCGGAGAAGACGGTGGTGCTGCCCACTGCGCCCTCCAGTGTGCGCGGTGGCATGAGTGTCGACCTCGACCGCATTCCCGTCAATGGGCCCTACAAGGTGTTCCTGGCCAACGTGTCATACGACGCTGACGAGGACATGATCTCCGCCATGTTCCAGGGATTGGATGTGAGTTTCGGATGGGACGTGTTCGCCCACTGCGATCTTGTGGACATTGTGTGGTAGGAAAATTGTGGGTCACAGTTCTCAGATTACATGGCAAATTTTGTTTCAGGCTCCATTGTCTTGTTTTGACTGCACTTGCCAGTGTCGTATTCCCCATGGATTTTTTTCTGCTATGTCACTGTTATGCCTTTCATGAGTTCATTCCCACATACAGATCATGGTTTGTGATGGTTGAACTTCACTCAGCACTGAGCATGGATAGACCCAGAAATCTCTCCAAACATTTGCACAACTTTTTTAGGAGCCTGATACCCAAGCCTGTGTCAACATAGCCAGTTGTTTGCCTTTACGACCTGGCGTACCATACGGTGTCTGAAACCCGAACCTGTGTCAACATAGCCTGTTGTTTTTCTTTACAACCTGGCATAGCATTCTGTGCCTGATACCAAGCCTGTGACAACATGGCCAGTTGGGTGCCTTTACAACCTGGTTGTTGTGTCCCCACCCGGCTTGGCTGGACGCGTGGCCTGACGTCGGCCCATTGCGCGCCTCAGGTGGTCAGTGTGCACCTGCCCTCGGACAGCACCGGCCGGTTCAGAGGCTTCGGCTATGTGGAGTTCAGCAACCGAGAGGACCTGATCGAAGCCCTGCAGATGGATGACTTGGTGAGCTGTTTGCTTCACTGTCAACTGCCAACACATTTTGATTGTTTGGATTGGCATTTTTGATTGGCAGTTCCTTTTGGTCAGTTGTGTGGCTTCTGTGTTCTGGGGCCGGAGTCCATTCTTGTTTGCTTGTAAGTGTAACATAACAGATAACCAGAGCCATCCAGAGATAACATACAGATAACCAGAGCCGTTCTCTGGAGCCCTCCTTTCCCTCCCCAACTAGCTGCCCGCCAGCCTGTGCCCCGTCTCCCCGAGCGCTCCTGACCGGTGCCGCCGCCACCGCAGGAGGTGGGCGGGCGCAAGCTGCGCATCGACCTGAAGACGCCGAGCGAGCGCGACCAGCGCGGCTTCTCGTCGTCGTACCGCACCGACGGCGACCCGGACCGGGCCGACAGCGACTGGCGCTCGGGGCCGCGCACCGAGCCGGCGCGCCAGGACCGCGACTGGCGCTCGGGCGGCCCCAGCCGCGACGCGCCCGACCGCGGCGGCGAGAGCGACTGGCGGTCCGGGCCGCGCTCAGGTACGCCGCGCGGCCGGCGCCGCAGCGGCGCGTGCGACGAGAGGGCCGCGCACGGAGAGCGCGGGGCCTGTGTGCAGGTGGCGGGAGGACGTGTGTGTGACGTGACGTGGCCGGGCTGACATCGGACAGGACGGGCCGTCCCTGGCGCGGCGGGGTCCCTAGCTCCTCCCCGCGGATGGGCGCGGCCGTGACGCAGTCATGGGTGCCAAGCAATGCCGAGCCGAGAGGCGCTTCATCAGCATGACTGGTGGAGACGGCGGAGTTCGGGCCGGTGCATTGGTACGATGACTCGGTGGGATAACATGGGGAGGCTTTTGGCTGCCGTGCGGTGTGGAGCTGCTGCCAACAACACTGTATTCGGCTGTGAGCAACTCGACGCGTGCGCTGTCACTGTTTCCGCTCGCTGTCCGCTTTTGCTGATGCCCGCCGCGTTGCCAGGGTGTCGTGTTCTCAGGCCACAGTTACGACGATTCCTACAGTGTATTCCAGCAGGTATCGCTCCCGTGGTCGTAAGAAAAGCACGCCTGGTTGTCGGCAGATAACCGCGGCGGCTTCGGGGGCGACTTCGACCGTGACCGGGGTGGCTACGGCGGCTTCGGCGGCCGTGGAGGTGAGCCCCCCTCCCTCAGGCACTCTGCGCCGGCTCCGTCGCACGCGTGCCGCGCCGACGCTGGCCGGTCCTCGCGCTACCTTCGCGCGTTTCAGTCCCAGCCGCTGGTGTCTGTCAGCTGTGCTGTGAGTGCTGTCAGCCCATAACAGACAGTATGCTGAGTGATTAGCTTAGCGCGGCGACCCAGCCGGCTGCCATGGGCCGCGCGTCACTGTGGAGTGATAGTGGGGCGCGTGCGCCGCACTCGGGGTGGCTTTCCACCACCATATGGAACGTCACGCTGGGGACCAGCAGATGTACGTATTGATCCAGGGCTGTTAGATGGGTCGTGACGCATTTCAGCTTATCAATAATTCGCGGTGGCGTGTTTAGGGACGTGCTTCTCGCTGATGGTTTGTTGCATGACACGTCGTCATGTTGCCCTGTAGGTGGCAGCACATGCATGCATGGGCGGGGTGTAAGCAATTTCAGATGTATGCCCGTATTAACGGCCAGCTTGCGGCCATTCGGACCGTCACCGAGGCGTACGGCCGGACTGAGACCTCCCCATGTGGCCATTCCAGACCGGGACCAGGGGCCGACGATGGCCAACCGCCCGGGCAGCAAGTACGAGGCGGTGCCGTCCTTCTCCGACTACGGCCGCGGCGGAGGTGGGTGTGACGGCGGGGCCTGGTCGGGTCGGTCGCCGCCACGCTGACCCTCCGGATCGGGATCCGAGGCGAGGCGCGCAGTGCAACTGCCGCAGCCAGGCTCCAGGCTGAACATCACGCCCGGTTTTGCGCGTTGCTGGGGTCGACGGCGCGCGTGTTTGATGCACTTTCCTCAGGCTGCTCGTGTGAAGTGGAACTCGCAGAGTGCCTCGTCTCGTCCTGCTGAGCGGCCGTCGTAAGGCGTATTTTAACGTAACGTAACCTGTTGTAGATCGAGGTGGTGGCGGTTATGGTTATGGTGACAGGCGAGGGGACGACCGGTACGGAAGTCGAGACGACCGCTACGGGGATAGAGGTATGGCCACGCCCTCAGTGGGGCGCTTACAGCCTTGTCCTGTGATGTGAAAACCTGATGTGTTGGAGCACTCCTATTCCTTGTGACTCGCATGCAAGGCAGTCTCGTCTTGATGGGTCTCTTGGTCTGCGGGCTTAGGAAGCCAGTGGAGTTTCTCAAGGCCGCGTCCGAATTTTCTATACGAACACCTTGTCGCTGCGGGACACTGCTTTTCCTCAGCTTCTGTCAATTATTTTGACCTCACCTAATTGACCGTAACGTAATCTGTTGTAGATCGAGGTGGTGGTGGTTATGGTTATGACAGACGAGGCGACGACCGATACGGAAGTCGAGACGACCGCTACGGGGATAGAGGTATGGCCAGATCCGTCTCTGCGCCAGTGCAACGCTTCCTGGGAACTTGCCATGGGGTTGGCGCCTGATTTCTGAAAGTGGCCTCGTCGAACCCGCTGGTCGAAACATTTGAAATTATGTGTCACGGTATGTTGTTTGCGGCTGGGCTATTGGTGAGGCTTTGTCACGTGCTAGGTTCTGGATGAGTCACTAGCGGAATGATGACTGGATGGACGCCGCTTTTCTTGAGCTGCCGTTGTGGTTCTTTGGCCAAGGGTGTGATTGCTGAGTTTAAGGTATTTTGCGCTATCGTTTAGTGCTTGTATGGCTCTCGTTGCATTATAAGCTATTGTGCGATACGCTATTTGCCAGACATTGTAACGTTAGGAATGCTGCGCAGCCGATTGCTTTTTTAAGCATAACACGTCGTCCTCGAAAGAGGAGAACTTCCGTTTCTTTTCTTTCTTCACAAGATGACGCATCAGGATATCAGGCTCGGCCCATTCTGCGCTGTATTTTACGATGCCGCATGTGCATCACCAAATCAAGAAGCTTGGGTGATTTGAGTTCTTCGAATGCTTTGTTCTTTTCATTTTCCTTCGTCGTCCCCCCTCCAGAAAAAAGAAGCCGCCCCAGAAGACAGAAGTCTGAAATTGTCACGAACTTATGTTCCGCTCCTCTTTTGTAACCCACCCATTGTCTCAATATTCCGTTGAACATCATCACCAGGCTGCGTCTTAGCAATAGCCGCAGGACTCTCCGATAAATCTAACGCACCGTAACGTAATCTGTTGTAGATCGAGTGGGCGGTGGTTATGGTTATGACAGACGAAGGGACGACCGTTACGGAAGTCGAGACGACCGCTACGGTGACAGAGGTATGGTGAGACCCACGTCTGCACCAGCTCGCCGCTCGCGCCGAGCGCCGTGGTCCATGCTCGCCGCGCGTACGCTAGAGAGTGTCCTCGTCGACATTCGTATCCGGCTAGAGAGCGAATGCTGTTCCGTGCCAGCGTGTGGACCGATGAGCGGCTGACCCGCTTGTTTGGGCGCCTACGGACGCCGAAGCGAGGCCTGGATGCTGACGCAACGCTACGTAATCTGTTGTAGATCGAGGAGGAGGCGGTGGCTTTGGCTATGACAGACGAGGCGACGACCGATACGGAAGTCGAGACGACCGCTACGGGGATAGAGGTATGGCCCGACCCACGTTTTCACCAGTGTAAACAACAGCAATTTGCTTCTGGATGCCAACTGCCGTGATAGCGTCGTACGTTCGTGTTTCGTGGGTCCTTTCCTCAGTTGTGGTTCATGCACTCTATGCGGTTAAGCAAAGCCTTACGCCAGAGAGTGTCTAGAGAGTAAGCATTGGAAGTTGCGGGAAGAGATCGCCTCCCTCACGCTGACTGATATGTTTGAGCTATGCCACTGATTTCGACCGGTGCTTCAGCCGATACCAGCCATCAGAGGCCAGCGGGAGGCGCCGCTCTCTTGCGTTGCTCTGTCGCGTTGCTCGGTATCCATGCGACAGCGCTCTGCGGCTCTGTCCGTTGGCCTCACTCGGCTTAGTTCGTACGACGTCGGCTGCGTCCCGACATCTAGACACTCCTTTTCAGCGGGTATTTCGAGCGACGTTAGCGTACCAGGCGAGCGTGCCTCCCTGAGCCATCTCCACTCGTGCGGCGGTCTGCGCCGTCGGGGCGCCGCCAAACGAACGCCGCACTCTATTTGTGTCGTCTCCTACGCGCCGCTGCTGAACTGTTTACATAGCACAAGTGGGTGGCCGTGATGCAAAGCGACCGTGATGCCCTCGCCGTCTGACAGCTAAGGCCGCCGAGACGCGGCGGAGCGCAGCGCTGGCACCGGCCCGTCGGCTTACGCGTCGTTTGGCCCGTGCTCGCAGACCGAGGCGGCGGCGGCGGCGGCTTCGGCTACGACCGACGGGGGGACGACCGCTTCGGCGACCGAGGTAGGCTGCCGGTGGCGGCCGACGCGGGTGTGCGGCATGGTCGCTTTAAACAGAGGGACGCGACGCACGGGCGCTCAAAGGGTGTGGTTAGGGAATGCGTGGGGAGTGTGATGAGTGAATGCACGGAGGATACAGGGGGTGCCAGTCATCGCTCGGGCTGCGCACGCAACGAACGTGGGCGACCGCTGGCGTGCACGGAATGATGATGATGGTGATGTGCACAGTGTTGATGACAAAACGCACGTGTTTTCACTGAACGGGGAAGTGCACGTGCCAGCTCATACTTTGGCGAGTTGATATTACAGTAAAGGTAAAATTAAAATTGCCGTTGTGGCGTTGTCCTGTGTTGCTCTGCTATTAGGCTGCGCTCGCTTTCATTGCCTGCGTGATTTGGAAGGCGACTTCGATATTTGTTGCATTTGTTTTTGCGTCGTCACGCAGAACTGCTCAGTGTATTCGGGTGCGTCGTGCTATCTCCTTGAAGAATTTGCACTGCGTTCAGTCGTTCTTCAACGCGTACAGTAAACAATGTCTTCGTGCGAAAGGTCAGTTGACGTCAGGGGGAGAATGGACCGTGCCGAGCATTGCGGCATGTTCAACTTTTGCCGCCAAATGTTGTGGTCCACCTGGGATTTCACCATCAGATGGTAGAGGTCGAGGCTCACAAACACTGCTTAGTATTATCCCTGATAACGGAAATCCATCCATTGCCAGAGTTGGAATTAAATCTAAAAAAAAACATCATACCATACAGGTTTTGGCACAGATGGGACTCTGCGGGCGTTTCTGTACTCTGATCGGTGCTGGTCGCGTGTCCTGTCCCATCCCGCCTTCTCTGCCCCCCCCCCCGCGCGTCTGACCTCTGACCTGGCCGCCGCGTGTGACACGGTCTCCCGTCTGCCCTGTTCCAGGCCGGGATGACAGGTAACTGCGCCGGCGCGCCGTCCGAGCCGGGGCGGCGGGCCGCCCGTCAACTCTGCACTCGGCGGCCGGCCCGGCTGGTGCGGCTGCATCGGCCAGCGCGTGACGTCCGTTAACTAGTCGATCAACGTGACTTGGCGCGGACGGCGCTCCCCAAACTGCTGCACCACCGCCTCTCCCCTCCCCGCGCTACCCACGTTTAAAGGGATGTGGCAGCGCGGGGAACGGCATCCTTTGAGCAACCTGGTACACGCGATGAACTTAAATCAGCCATCATCAGTCGTAAATAAGATTCCCCTCTAGTTATAAACGTGGATCACAAAAACTCGCCATTGGTGCTGGAGATTTGCCAGTAGGCTTGTGACGGTCGCTTGCCGCGATTAGGCGATTCAGCTGTGCTCTGCAGTCACGCCTGGCGGTTCTGTTTCTCAGGGACGGTCCGCGGTATGGTTCCAGGGACGGCCCGCGTGATAGCAGGGACGGGCCGCGCTACGAGCCGAGCGACGGACCGCGCGGTGATTCCAGGGACGGCCCCCGCTACGGAGGCAGGGACGGACCAGACAGCGCCGAGGGCTCCACAGGTGAGCTTCGCCTCCGCGCCGCCGGCACCGCTGACGAGCGTGTTCATCCGAGCGGCGCTGCTGGCGCCGCCGGCCGGCCTAGTGAGTGACGTCACGCCCGCGTGCCGGCAGCCGACGGCGACCGGGCGGCACCGGCGCGGCCCAAGCTGAACCTGAAGCCGCGCTCGGTGCCGGCCGAGGAGATCGGAAAGCCGGCGGCGTCCAGCAGCATCTTCGGCGGAGCGCGGCCCGTCGACACGACGGCGCGCGAGCGCGAGGTGGAGGAGCGGCTCAAGGGCCTGTCGACGGAGCGGCCGCGGCCGCCGCCGACCGACGGCGCGCCCTCCGGCTCGCAGCGGCGCGCTGAGGCCTCGCGCGACATCCGCCTCGCCGACGGGCCGCCGCCCAAGCCCAAGGCTGACCAGGTGAGCCTCCGGCGCGGTGCTGGAGGGAGGCTGGAGCGCGGCTGGGCTCGGATGGGTCCGCCGCCTGTCGAGTGAGGCCGGCGCGACGAGGCTGTAATGAGCGTCCCGTGTTGTATTGATGGTGCTCTTGTGTGTCGCTCCGCGTGCCTGCCCTCTGGGTCTGACGATGCTGTCGTTGCAGGACGAGCGGGCGGCCAGTTCCGGAGAGACCAATGGGAAGGCGGAGGGCGCCGAGAGGTACGTGTTGCGCCGCCCTGAGGACTGGACACGGCCGTCTGTCGCGTCCGCCCCACACGGGCCCGCACGCCCCTAGCGGTACCGTGCGTGACGCGTGAATCAACAGACCTGCTGAGACGCCGCTGTCGCTGGGGCACGCAGGGTGGCGATGTGTCTGACGTCGTGAACTCCACATACGGCGTCAGTCTGGCCTCTGTCAAAGACGGCGTGCATCCGGTGTTGGCGAGTGAGCGCTCGCTTACGCGTGACCGTGTCGACCTTCGACCCATCGACCAGCCTGCGGCCGCCTGGTGCCAGCCGACCACTTCTTGACGTCTGCGTGTGTCCTTGTCCTTGTGTCTGTCCACACTCTGTCGACAAACCGCTCCTTGATATGTACATGTCTGGGATGTCGATGCGTCTGTCCCCACGCTGTCGACAAGCCACTCCTTGACGCCTGCGTGTCTGGGGTGTCCTGATGTCTGTCCGCTCTGTGTCCACTCTGTCGACAAAACACTCCTATGTCCACAAACCACTATATTTGTCCACGCTGTCGGCAAACCACTCCTACGTGTCTGGGGTGTTGGTGTGTCTGTCCCCACATCACCAGCCCACCACTCCATGACGTCTGGGAGGCTGTGTAACGCCGCATAGCGTCGCGCAGTGTATGGCCGGGCCGTGCGGCTGGAGCTCTCGCGCGCCCAAGCGTCCGCCCTGACACGGCCTCGCTCGACAGGCGGGAGCGGGCGCCGCGCCCGCCCAAGGTGCTGGACGAGAAGCCGGCCGAGTTCGCCCAGCCCACCATGTACAGCGCACTGGCCGAAGAGGACGACTAGGCGGCGCGGCAGAGGCGCCGACACGAGCGAGCCGACCGCGCACGGGGCGCGCCACCGCCCGCGCGGCCACGCGCAGTGGGCGCCGACCGGGCCCGGCCGGCGCGCGCGAGACGGGCGGCGCCCCGGGAGAGGAGGCAGCGCCCCTGTCGACCAGGCGGCGCTCCGGTCGACCAGGGTCGGGCCCGAGGGGAGCCAGGGCTCGGAGTCAGGAGGGCGCGTCGCGTCGCGGGGAGGCGGGAGAGGACGGAGTCGGGGCCCCGAGTCGAGGAGGCCGGCTTCGAGTCAGGGTCCGCCGGGCGTCGCGCAGCGGGGCGACCCGGCCGCCCGCCAGCGCTGGACGTCCGTCGGCGCTACTTGTGCTATAACGCCGCTTGCGGGTGGAGCGTAACAGCCCGGCACGAATATTCTCTAAATTGGTAATCGGACGAGGGTACTTTTGTATTCTTACGTTGTTTGGCAAATATATGTCCTAGTAGCGTGGCGCCATGTTTCCATGACGACAGTGGTGCTGTAAAGACGATGACGATCTGTGCTATTGGTAGTGGCGCGCAGCGGGCGGATAGCTCGTGAGCATGCCACGCAGAGGCCGTTCCGTACGCCGAGATCATGACGTCCACTCTAAGTGGCTGCGAGGATGCACGGCCGGGATGAGGGGGGGAGGGGGGGGGGGGGTTGCGAGTCTCCTACCATTGCCATCTTTGCCCCCAGAAATACTGATCGCGAAGTCTTCAGAGTATTAATGTGGGGTAGTGTCTCTGATACCGGTTTGTGGTGGACATAGGTCGAATAGCAGGCCCAAGCCAGGTCAACATTCCATGATGGGTCTAGCAGCAGTCACAAGCGGCTTTGTTTTGCATCCAAGACAACGTGATTAGAGGACGAATCGTCAGCCAGTAAGCAAGGCGACTCGGGAAATATTCGCGATGTAGAGTGATGATAACGTGCTTGTCGTTATTTGTGCTAAAAAATCATCACTGAATCCTGGTCGAGGACATTGAACATGACGGAAACAGTCAAATCAAAGTCAATTTTCTGACAAACCTCACCGCTAACTCCAATTGAAATATTTCACACAACTGGCCACACGCGTCCGAGCTCACAAACGTATGCATTTTGTCGTTTCTTTTGTTTCTCCGTTCCCCAGCTTCCTCAGTATCCTTCCGCGGACGGCGACGCCGGCCTCTGGCTGCTGGATATTGCCATGGCGCGTGGGGCTGGGGTCAACCCGACTGACCACTGCGTTCAGCGAGAGATCTAACAGGCCTCCGAGTACGTGGGCCTTCACTGGACGGCAGCTCTGCCGCGGCACAGGCGACGCGGAGACGTACTGTTTCGTGCGTTGGTGCGGCCGGTCCGTGGCCGAGGCAGGGAACACTCTGTCTGCCAGGACGATGGCTTAACATTTTGCCCACTCGTTTGGTCTTTTGTTTGCTCCTTATTCTGGCGTCTCGTTTTCTTGATAGAATGCGCACCATACTTCGGTGTAGGCAACTTTTAGCTTTGCTGCCATTTGAGAATGGCGAAGAGGGCGGGTCTGTACCATCTACCACCCACCCCCTCAGCTCCAATACGGGCACCAGACATCCGTGTCTTCGGGTCTGTTACGGTGGGACAGGCCCCTGACATACAATGCGTTTCAGGCGTTTCAGAAGTGTTCGCCATATTGAACACACTAGGCATGGCGATGCAAACGCCATGAAGTAGATCCCTCATAGGATAGTTTTTGCACCGACGGATGTTCGCGCCACGCGGCGATTACGCGCAATGTGTGGCCGAACACCAGCCATGGTGCCGGGGCTGTGATCCGCGCGACGCCCACGCACGCGCAGTCTTCTGCGACAAAGTGCGTGGAGGCACCTGCGTGCGGCCACGTGCGTTAAGGCAGTCCGTGGCCAACATTACACCTAGGGGATCGTATCCATCCGGGTACGCACAGTTCGCGTGCGACCAGGTGTGCATAGTCACTTTCGGGTTACGAGGTGTAGTTCTGACCGATCAAACCCCTATAGTTGGCACACCGTAAGTGTATGCAGTTGTAGCTGGCTGAGATGGATATGCTTAGGGGTAGTCCTGCATGTTTCTGGTCACGCTCTTGGAGATGTACCGTGACCTAGGTGCAATCACCCCAAAACGATGTGGGGACCTGAGACATGCTGACACTCCAGTCCCACACAATAACCGATGGAGGTGTTGTGGTTCTATCCACATTGGTGCAGCACGTTTGTAAGTTTCAGACCATGACGAGGCAAAACAACGGGAGGGAAATGTATAAGAACTTCGGCTCAGTTAAATCTACAATATACCCTTTTCGGTATTGCATTATAACAACTCAAAACAGTTGACAAATTGACACCTTCGGCATTTTTTCACGTTTTGATGAAGGACAGCAGGCCCAGCCAGCCAGGTTTGCTTTGCGGCATCGATTCGGTTGGAAACACGATAGGAAACGAATCATCAACCAAAACTCTATATTTCTTCGGACGGGGTTATGTAACGCTCTCACGCAAAAGCAAAAACACCTATAGCAAGGGATGAGTAATCCAGGCGCCCAGCGCGGAAAACTATTAATGCCATACAGAACTGCAAGCTTTCGCCAACACATAAACATCTTCGACCAAATTAAACCAGCCCCGGGTCCCAGACACCCCGTCGTGAGTCGACTCCGCGCTCAACTCGGCGTCAAAGCTCGCTACCCTGAGCAGGACGGCGCCGCCCGCCGCTCGCGCCACGTATCACCCCCTCCCGGTCCGCAGACCAGCCTCCCAGCGGCGACCACCCGCTCAGTCGGTGCCGAAGTACTTCTGGCCGAAGTGGTTGGGCGTGACCGGGTGCATCTCCGAGGTGAGGATGCGGAGGTTGGGGAAGCTGGCGGTGACGAGGCGCGCGGCCGCCGGCGTGCAGAACAGCGTCAGCAGGATCACGTTCTCCTCCTGGATGCCGTGTTCGCGCATCACGTGCAGCGCGCGCACGATTGTGTTGCCTGTGTTCATAATGGGGTACATCAGCAGCACGCGCCGCTCGGCCACGTCCTCGGGGAACTTGGCGTACACGACGCGCGCCTCGTGCGTGTCCAGGTCGGACGAGACGAGGATCTTGCCGATGCGGATGGAGCGGCAGCAGTCGCGCAGGCCCTGTTCCATCGCCTCGCCGCTGCGGACGATGCTGACGCCGCAGTTGCCACGCTGGTAATGCAAGCCCTGGTACTGGCGGCCGGTGGGCGTTGTCACGCTAGCCGGCGTGTAGGGCAGCAGGTTCAGGCCCTCCTCCACCACCAGCCGGATCAGCCGGTCCGCGTAGAATTTGAAGTCGCTACGCGAGGTGGTCTTGTCGCGGATGATGGTCTGCAGCTCGCACACGTGCTTCTTGCGCGGGATGACGGTGAGGTTGTCGCTGATGCCGGCGGGCGGCGCGGCCCGCATCAGCGCCGGCGGCAGCTTCTGCTCGGCGGCGGACTGGGAGTCCGCGTGCGTCATGACGTCCCTCGGGGTGACTAGAACGCCTGAGAGAACACAGCCCGATATCGGCAACTTCCGGCCACAAGGAGCGACGTAGGTCGCCTGCCACTCGAGTGCGCTCGGAACCCCTCCGCCGGCGGCTCTGTTCAGCGTCAGTGGTGCTCGCTGTCGGCGTGGCCGCTGTCCCGCTCTCGCTTCAGGATCTTCTCCAGGTCGTGCTGCTTGCCGAGCACGGCCAGGTTCTCAGTCTTGCGTCTCTGCTGCCGCTCCACGTCCCGGATAACGCCCTCGTGCAGCCGCTCCCTGCCAAATACTCGCGCTTAGCACCTCAGAGAATGTGACGGGTACGCCGCCACGCGGGAGCTGAGAGGGTAAAACCTAGTTATGCTCTAATGCTCCATCTGCCCAGATAAACTTCTCACAAGCTGTCTATCATCTCAATTGTGCTTTGATGCATCAGGCATCAGTCATTTATGTCAAAGTCAAACAATGGTTGGTAATCTATAAAAAGGTGCTTAACAATACTAATCATGCTCTCCTTTTCAGAATGCACAACTTATGACAGAACTGAAAGTTTCTCTGAATCTTGGAAAATACTATGACTGCCATTCATATTAAATTTGATGCATGGGCCCTTGTTTATTTGACTAAACAAGATTACAATAATTCTAGCCATAAAATTGAAGGGTCAGGGGTTGCATCCATTTTTAAATTTCATTGAGCTTTTCTGTACTCTTAAAATGTGAAACAACAGGAAAATGTGAAAATGTACAATGTCAGATGATGACCCTACATGGTCTGTTGATTGGCCTCTGCTGCAGCTGCTCTGCAGACTTTGACAGACCTTTCAGTGCTATGTTTTGGACACCAGAATGAGTCTTTCAATTTAAATGATAACAAATTACATTCTTTTATCACATTTTTAAAATGCAATACCCATTCACAAAATCCCTGCCCCAAAATTTACAAAGTTAATACCAGTTGACATCTTTCTTCAGCTCTGCCCCCACACAGAGTTGCTGAAGTCTGCCACACGTTGTAGTGCATCAGCAGCAACAACTTGAATAGCCAGAATCACCTGATTTATCCTATGCCAAAGTGGGCATGTAAATAATGAATGATGGCTTGAGTTATTTGACATTGATGAAAATTGAGTTCTTACACAACTGGTGCACACCTAATTTTCAGCAGCACCAATTCAACAGCTCATATGTAACATTTAGATCATCTTATAATTATGTAAAAATTGAGTCACAAACAAATAATCTGTCCTATCTTGATGCAACATTACTTAATAGCTACACAGCTAACCTCACCTGTCAACCTGCTGTTTTATGTGAACATAACTAATAATTCCTATAGAAACACCACAAGATGCTGCCAGAAACAATTTTGATGTTAATGACATATCTTATTATGCATTACAAGCTGTGCTGTGCCTGTAACAAGAACCATAATTAGTCACACCACCACAATTCATCCAATGTGCGCAAGGAGTAGAAGCAATATCTACCTTTGCACTACACATAAAATAATAAGCAGAAAGCTAACTCAATACACTTTTCACCAAACAAATAGCCAGTGGGCACTGAAAGAAAACCACTCAATGTCCCAAGATGACTTCCACTCCCAACAAAGAGACCAAATCTTTATGATAAAATAAAGAACCAATCCGAGAACAACAGAGTAGCGATACTGTACACCCACAATGCTTGCGCAGGGCAAGATCAATGCACGCAAAATTTGCGCACAAATGTTCCTTATTCGATGGCAATCTTTTGAACCAATCCGAATCTTACCTTTTCGAACCCTTAGTGCTGAGAAAAACGATTGGCCAGAATTGGCAAGAATCGACAATCGCGCCTCGCTCGGCACGCTATGGAAAGGATGACACAATTGTCGTTGCTGCGTCACGAACGTTTCACACCAGATTACCATATTATTGGCAGCACCTCCCCTCATGTGCGCACAGCATCGCCGGGAAGACCAACGCCATCCTCGACAAAGTTGGCACGCCACATACCGAAATACACCAATTGCTGGTGCACTTTTCTTTTCGAATGGCCCAAAACAAGCTGCGCGGTCCAAGGAAAAGTCGGCGAACCTGCGAAACGCAGAAGGCGGTCTGGAAAAAGCCGCGTCGAAAGCCTAATACCTTTCATCCAAGTGTGCTTTTTGTCTGTTCATTCAAGTGCGTTTGAATGAATAAGCAGTTGAGCACCTTTGAATTGCGTAACTGTCTCGAGTGCTCTCGTGCCCAAAATAGGTCATGATCAGAAATGTGTGAAAGCCCTGTATTCAGGACCAGACAGCCATTGGCGGGGACGGCCAACTTCTTCAACATTACGCCACTCAGTGCAATGCTCGACAAACTTGAGCTGGATCTGTCTGGGCATTCCGTTTTCCGTTGCCATTAGTTCATCATACTATTTCAAACAACACGTGACATGTGCATCCAGCGAAGGACTGCCACTGGCGGTGAGAACCGTGCCCAGCTACGGCAAGACCCACATGCAGAGCTCCAGACAACCACGGCACGTGTATTGCACCAGCTCTTCTCAGCGCCAGCGATATCCTCCACACAACCTCCTAGAAGAGCGTCTGACCATTGGCAGCGCAGGCGGAACCATCCCCGCTTGCCTAGCCACTTCCGGAACTTCTGCACGCTGCATACTAGACGGGAGCGCCGGTGAACGCAGGAGGGGCCGGTGCCCCACGCTTCGGTCACTTAGTCGTTTTCCGACGGCATTACCTTCCACGCCTCCACCGCAAGGGAGGGGGGGGGGGGAGGGACAAGATCCCACGTACTCCTCCACGTTGGCGGTGGACGGTCGCTCGACCGGAGCTTTCGCTCACGAGCAGGATGTACACACATACACACACATAATGGACTGATCACGTCATCGCCTAAGAAACCGCCTTCCATCCTCCTCAGTAGCGGCAGATTCCGCACGGCCGGCCCCTCCTCAACGTCCAGCGCGGGCTGGGCCGCGCTGCCCGACTAGGCAAGCCCGTCCCCTGCCTCCGCCGCACCGGGTCTGTGCCGCCGCCGACGTCAGCACACTGGCTCACCGGGACCAGGCCTGGCGCTCGCACCACCCCCGCCGCGCGGCGCGACTACGAGGGTCGCTCAGCCTGTGCCTTGTCGGCGCCGTCGGCGTCGCCAGCCGGCGGCGGCTCGGCGTCGGCCGGCGGCGGCGGCCGGCCTGCCTCGGCCGCCTCGGCCGCCTGCAGCGACCCCTCGAACTCCTGCGGCTCGACGGTGCGCTTGTGGCCGTGTGGCGGCGGCCCGATCAGCGACACCACGTCGTCGTAGTTGAGCGTGTCACGCGACATCAGAGCCTCGGCCATCTGCGGCGACGGCGCTGATGTTACCCGGCGTGGGGGGGGGGGGGGGGGGGAAAGGGGCAGCGGCACTGTGAAGGCGTCCGGGAAACGCGGCTGAGATACACCACGGTTCTTTTCGTGGCTGTTCGCAGCTCTTTTCGTGGTCGTGGTTTTCACGTTTTTTGTCAACACATAGAGTAGACAAAACATGTGACAAAGATGAATCACAGATTCGCACACGCCTGCAGGCCATGACACAACTGGCAACAGACGCTGCACCGTAACACTCTATCACTCAGACTGCTCTTTGCGCGGCCTTGGCATGAAACGCAACATCCGGAGACACAACCCATTACCCATGTCTTCGAAACACCGAAAACGTTCTCACCTTCCCAACCACAGGCAAAACCGTACGATAACAGGTTGAACGCGGCCGGTACGCCACAAAAGCTCCGCGCGAACCTGCGCGAATTCTCCCCTCACCCACTGACCAAGTTGAGTTGGGCCATGTTCTGCTGGAGCACGCTCTCCGTGTGTCGGTAGGCGCGCGCCACCAACGCGCGCACCTCGGCGTCCACCAGGGCGGCCAGCTTGCGGCTGTAGGGCCGGCGGCCGGCGCCTGGCGGGTCGAACGATACCAGGCCCACGGCCTCGTTCATGCCGTAGGTGCGCACCTGAAGGGGACCGAGGGCGCGGGGTTAGCTGGGGTCGTCGGGCGTTGCAGGGAGTTTGGTGCGTACAGAGTGATAGCTCGGTAAGCACAGGTTCACGGGTGCGGGGATTATCTGCCGATCTCAGTTATACTGTTTCGGCATTCTGAGTCCGGCTTTAGGCGCGCAAACTTCTAGTTCCCTAGCCGTGCATCCGGCCAAGCCAGTCAATTTCGGTCCACAAAATTGCTTCATCACTGTGATTTAGCTTCAGAAAGGCAAAAAAAGGCTGGATGAACATTGGTCAAAACGAGCCCGACCATATGTATGAGCAGCTCCCACGACCAAACACCTCCTTGTTTGCTTTAAGTCACCACTTGCGGTCTACGAGGCCAGCTTCGTAAAAAGGCGACATTGACCACTTCCCGTCCGTCGGTTACCGCCACATCCATTCGTCGGACAGTGCCGCGGTCGCCACGTGCGCTGCACGCTGACACTAGCCGTGCCCTGCTGTGGATGTCGAAATCTGATACCAATCCTTACCAAAACGCCCCCAGACTGGGACCGGTGTGCGGTCCGCAGGGCGTGACTGATTCATGCCGCATTGGTCTGGTGCCGCTGCTACACCGACAGCTGCCCTGATCAGGGCCTCGCTAGGGCCGTGTTGTGCAGCTGTTCCCCAACCGGGCAACATCCCGTTTCCGACGTCAACAGCAAATGCCAGTTTTGTTCAAAATACATTATCCCCGGAAAATTTAGACACCTACATGAAAGTTGCTGAGCCACCTGGTCACGCAACTGGCAACAACTGTGCGCAAATCGAAACAGCACAACGTTTGAACAGTTGCCCTTCTTGCTAAAAGTGACATGAGGCTGCTAGCAGTGGTCACGACTCACGAGGATATTATATTCTTTAAGGCAAGACAGCAGGGGCGGTCGCCAAATTCAGCGCTTTCTCACCGCTCAGAGGACACACGCTGGGCCTGCGGCCCTGATCGTAATTGGCACCCCATACGAGGCTGCATGTTTGATCGAGGCCTGCAGCCCTGATCGTAATTGGCACCCCATACGAGGCTGCATGTTTGATCGAGGCCTGCAGCTCCCACCGTAATTGGCACCCCATACGAGGCTGCATGTTTGATCGAGG